GCACACACCTACACTATTCAAGAACTAGATTTCAACTCTCTCCTTCAAAGATTAGACTGTTAGAGACTGGTCCACCTCATGTGAAGTTTATGATTTCCTAGAAAAGAAATTCATCTCTCTGCAGCAGTGAAATTTTATCCCACTTCAATGCTGAATAACTTGCAATAGTCTGGTTAATTGTCCTATTTATTTAAGTACATGTTTCTAGAAAGGAAATAAAATAATTTACAATAGAGAGTGAAACCATATAATGAAGGCTTCACTTCAGCTGTAATTTCTGGGACACAACCTTTCCAAAGCAAGTTCATGCTTTAGCAACAAGGCAACTCCCTTATTGACTTGTCATTGTTTGCAGATTTGGCTCTGCCTGTACTTTATTTGAACAGAAGTTTTAAACAGCATTTTAAGTGTTTATTCCAATTACAAACCCACACATTTTCAGGCCATATTTCAGAGAGTTAAGTTTCATATTTAATGAGATTCATCTCTCTGGTATGAGGAATATTGTGTGTTCACTCCAAAATTATAACAAGTTTACAGTGAGTTAGAGTATAAAATTTTATATGGAACATATGTGAATAAATGCAGTTATGATATAAATTAATTTTAAAGAATAATTTTCAAAAGATGTGCTTTTTCACACAAATTTTGCACATAGTTAAAATTTGCTATAATAGGATGGACAAGAAGTAGGTTGTTCTTAAGTAAGGAATGAGAAAATATTCAGCTTTTTTATTCAGTTACTAAGCTTAGGTATCCAGATAAAAACCATAATATCATGAACGATAGCCTATATCCTCTCACTTTTCTGTCAGCACACACCTAAACTCCTTTAGTGAGGTTAGTGGCCAATGCTAACAACCTTTCAGGTCTTTCAGAGCACCTACTTCAGTGGCCCCTCTCTGGCTCACTCTTGTCAAAATCAATTAGTCACCTCTAATAGAGGGGCTGTGACGGGCATATATGTCCAAACCATAAATAGGCCTTCCCAGACAGAACTGTTTACAAAATTCACATTTGTTTACATTTGTTCACACAGCGTTGGTTAAGTTTACAGATAGGTATTTTGTAATATACACACACAGAGCAATGAAGCAGAACTGGAAGTTCAGTCGCAGGAAAGACAAGACCTCTGCATAAACAGCTTCCAGGCAGTAAAAATTGAAAGGCCTTTCTGATTTGACAGAGGCCCTTCCAGTTCACAGAAAGCTTGATTCCTACCAAGGTTAATCCTTTGTTGTTGAAATTGCTGTTGCTGTCTTTATACACAAACTATTTTGCCAAAATTCTCATTTCCAGTTGTTCTTCAGGATGTCCAGGTGGGACAAATCTGTTCTTGCTTCATGCCTTTAGAGGTAGACCAGAAACAAACTGGACTCCATATTTTCAAAAACTAAATGTGATTTCTCCTTCCTCATAATTTTCTTCACTGGTGTGTCCTATGATCTCCTTTCATCTTTTTTCACCATCATCCAGATAATGGATTGACTTTCATGCCATAAAACTTATTGTACAGCTGAACCTACTCCCCAGTAAATTCCCTCTGATAAGTGGGAATGAAAAGGGCTGTTATGTAGTTAGCAATCCAGCTGATCCATTCCTCTTGAGGATATTTAATGCACTTGACTGTGTTTGATAAGGGAAGGTCAATTTTCCTACAAAAGTAATAGTTTTTAAATCTTTTGCTTTCTTTACACAGTAAATGAAGCAGCAAATATAAAGATGAAGATTAGCCAAAGCCAAGTTGCTCTTTTACATTTTACTAAATAATACTGCCAAATCCAATAAAGTGACCTTGGCATATGAATTTACTGATGCACAATTGTTGCTAAGTGTCAAATTCAGATGTAAAGCAGTAGATCATTTACTTTCATGATGAATTCAATTTCTTACATTGACTCCAGTTTACAGTGGATGAAAACTTGCACATATGATAAAACACACCAAAATTGAATTATTAAAAAAAAAAAGTGATAAATAGGTAGATGTTGCTGGCAAAATAATGGGTTAGCCTCACCCCAATGCAACCTTTCATATCTATGCAAAAAGAGTAGGGAAAATCTATTGACTTTAGAGAGGCCATGTAATGAATAAATGTGTTGCAAAGATTAGAACAGGGAGGATATTTTAGGCTAATTTGGATGCTACAATCTTCTTCCATAGACATCAGCAAAATCAGCCTTTGACCTCAAAACACGAATTGGCACTGGAAGCTCTTTGCTACTTTTTCCAGTCACAAAAACATTAACCTCTATAGCCTGGCCAAACTCCAAAGTGAGTGATTACATTCTGCTGCTCTAATTTTCCCCTGCAGGCTCAACCAGATCCACCATAATTTCCTGATATGTAGTGTTACTGAAAAAAAAAAAAAACCACCCCTTTTTGCAAAGTTGCTGTCAATTTTTCCTTCTTGCCTCCTCATTTGTATGCCTTGTCTTATGAGTTGTAAGTTGTTTGAAGGTCAGATTTGTTTGGTTCTGGATCACAGATTTTACTAAACTGAGGGACCAGAACATGGCTGGTGCTACAATGATAACAATATCTTTCCGTCACTTTTACTCTCTTATAATACACTTAGTGTAGCCTGGCTATAGTTTTTTCCCCAAGCACTCACGCAGTCAGACTTTTGTTAAATATCACATCATGTTGGTCTCAAAAATCAGAAGTCAAAAACACAGCCTAAAGATACAGGGCATTCTGAGTGTGTTTAAAAACCAGTTGCAAATTTGATTGTAAAGTAACACATTGCTTAACTCCACATTGTTTTAAAGCAATAATTTGTTAAAGAAATTATGATTTCCATGGCCATACAATCTAATATTTTTTCAAGCAGTTTGGATATAATTGATAGCAGAATTCATTTAATTCATATTTAGTATTGATCTGAGACATTACTTTTACTCTTAGAAAAAGCATTCACTACAAAAGTTAAGCATCTCTGGTAAAACTGCCAATTTCACTTTGGTTCTATAAAGCTGTAACACCTGCACTTTGGGTAGTTTCTTATTGAGTAACTTAAGCTAGTTGGAAATAACAGCACTGAGATCACTTGGTATAAGCACTTCTATCTAAAACAGAGGATGCCGTGCTTCTTCCCCCAGCACAGTCTCAAATAAAACAGCACTCAGTACAATCTGGTGGATTACTTGCATGGAGAAGCCACACAGATTCTGCTCTGGGGATGTGAATTTATTGCTTAGTCCCAGTACCACAGGGTTAAGTGAAATGCTATCACAGTAATTTATTATTAAGAGAAACGGTGATGGCTTAGATTAAGAAGATTTGTCTGTCTCTTCTAATTAAGGTTAGGTTTGTAAGAAGCTTTACTGCCCTTTGAAGCTACAGAGACTAAAATTAGAACTCTGGTTCCGTTTAAAATGTCACTAGGTTGGTCTATAATCCTGTGGTGGTTGCAACAAGGGATCATTCTTTCTATGTTGTGATTCCTTGTTTGCAAGCTAGTGAGCCAGGACAAGACCCCATGAAGCAAAGTCTGAGCAGTCTATTAATCAGCAACATGCTGGTCCTACAGGACACTGTGATGCTCTTCCAGTAACCCCTTGAAGAATCCATACTGAACAGGAATTTGGCAAAGCAATCAGCTGTAAGACACAAGTTCTCTTGCCAGCACAGAGCAAATGGTGGCAGTAAGTGGGCTGTGTACAGAGAGTGAAGAAGTTTGAGGGGAGCAAGATCTGCCCTAAGGCTGTGAGTGAACTCATTTTACAGTGGTGTCTACAGTCCTATATGTGACAATAGCATCTCAGGCTATAGCATCCCAGCTATCCCAGGCTGTCCTCACTTGCTGGTCTACAGAAAATGTCAAAACTCAGATGAGTAAATGCATCACTTCCAAGTTATATTATTATTCCTGTATTTACACAGCATCAAATGAACCCGTGGGGCTGTTAAAGGAGAATAATAGCAAAAGCTGTTCAAAAATTTTTAGGAAATTTGAAGCTTGGATTCTGTTTTCCTTACTGATGTGTAGACCTAGAGCAGCTCTGACTAGATTAGTAAATTACAGAAATATAAAGCTCATTACATAGAAAGATCAGGTGCATTTGTGAATATGCCTTCTTTGAGAATATTTAGCATGACAAAACATTTGAAGGAGAAGAAGCCATGATTCTTCAAGTCACAGCTCAGTTTTTGGTTGGCTGGGATTATGAAAATATTCCAGTAGGAAGAACATGAAATTATGATTCACTACAGAGTGCCTTTCTCTAAATGATTTGAAGCTGTGTTTCAACTGAGACAAAACAGCATGAGTGTGTGGATCCATATTCTTCTGCTAGGTCTTATGTACCTGTCAGATAGGACAGTGTGGTGGGAGCCACTAAATTGCTATTTAGTAGTTCAAAAAGAGAATAATCTTTTAATTTGGTTTAGTGAAACAAAGCAAGTTTATATGTATATTGGAAGGGATGAACTGCAAGCACTGAATCTCAGATATGTGAGCAAGAAAATCCCTCATCAATTAATACAGTAGGAATCTACCAGCTTTTACTGATCAATCTGCTGGGCAATGAATGAAATTTAATTGCTCTGTTGCACTGTTAGTAAGTTTTTCATATTACAGGGCATATCTTTTGCATTGTATTCTTTTTTTCTTAGATAAACTCTGTCATGCTTTTATAGACAGGAACATCCAATTAAGCAGCAAAATCAACCACCTGTCATTCAAATAACCACTCACAATATCTGAACAGCACATATTCATGAAGGACCTCCTGAGTAAAAACAATTTGCTCTCCTCAGAATCTTATTACTGCTTTCAAATGAGGAGTAAAAGGGCTCAAAAAGATTACAGGAAGTCACTTAGTTCAGTCCCCTTTATTTACTCAGATTAAGACAGAAGTAAACAATACCTACCTATTCTGAACAAATAAAGCAGGGTGGTTCACAAAGCATTTCTTACTGTGAGAGAAGGGTACAGCTATAATAAGTAGGGCTGGTCTTGAGCAGTTCAGTTTATTTTACTGTGTCCAAAAACCCAGTATCTACTGCAGCAGGCATGAGCAGCTCCTGTGTGACACTGGCTGAGGTCCTGTGGGCAAAAGGAAGCCCTCTGGAGGAAGAAGAAATATGGGCACTCCTGTACCTGTCCACAATTCAGCTTCTGGAGGATCTTCACAAAGGTGAGATGAAAAGCATCTTTTTAAGAGTTCTTACTGTTGGAAAATAATTCTTGAGTTATTTTAATTGTTTTGAGTTTGTTTGTTTGTGGGGGTGGGGTGGAGACAAAAAAAAACTAATGGCACTAACAGCATACTGCTAATAAAAGTGAGAAATCTTTCAATGCTGCTGGGATTACATGCAGATTGCTCTGCCTACATAGAAGGTCTTCATGCAGTTCTGGCTTTTTTTTTTTCCAAATTTTTAAACATCAAGTAGTAATTAATCTAAGAACAATTATATGCAGACAGAAGAGTCTTTCCTGAAGTCTGAATAACATGCACCCAGAGAAAGTGCAGTGTCAGCTAGGCTCATGTCCTTCATGGACTGATACAGAGGACAGGAAAATCCACATGGCTCTCCATTCAGCTAGTAAGAGATTTATCCTTGATGATAATAATGCGACTTATCATTATGATGTTTGCTTGCCAAGCAGGCCAGCTTGAGAGAGCACAGAGCACAACTGAGCAACAACAAGAGAGCACAGCTGAGCGACCTGTCACGTTTTGAGAATTGTTTATGTGAATGGGTATTCCTTTTGAGGGAAGAATGGATGAGACGTGTTCTTACCTCATAAGCATGTAGAATCAAAATACAAAATACAGAAAACAAGTGATGTGTAATTTCTGCTATAGCTGGAGGAGTGAAAATTCATTACCAATTAGTTTTTAATGGGCTGGAACACTACAGCAGGTTGACTATACCATCAGTTCTCTATTAACTGGTGTAACAAGGGGATAGCATAGCCCAGGAAATACAAGCACCAGAAATGTGCAAAGGAGTGAAGCACAAAGATACCCACCTGGACAGGTTCAGCATAGGACCATCTATTGACTCTGCGCCAGACACTAAGCTGACACTATGCTCTTGTGATTGCTGACTTAACAAAACAATTTTTTTTTTTTTAAAAAATATAATCAGCCTATGTTCCCTATGCTACACCAGATAAATTTAGGGTATCAGAACATGGAAACCGAACCAAGAAGAAGTAGGGATGTACAACCAAGCTGGGCTGCAGGCCCAGTGTGTAAGGCTGCTAAAACTTGTCTTTAGAGAGCTCAGGTCCAGAAGTGATGCCAATCTGGAGTCATTCTGAAGCTGAATCCACAGTGCTCCAGTTACTTTGAGCACAGGGAAGGTTATGTGCCATTGCATAGCATCATCCCAGTTGAGTAAGGCGTATCTCTGACTCCACATCTCTCAATTGCAGCTATATTGTTTCTGTAATCAGCCTCTTTTCAAGGCTAATGCTGCCACATTTCCTGTGCTGTGCATGATGCAATAAATCATGCCAGATCTCATGATGATCAGCACCACTTGGTACAGAATATTCCCGGTGTGCTGGGGCACTGCCAGGTTAGCCAGGAATGGCACTGGTTGGCTGGCCAGCAGTACAGAAAGCCAGGTATTCTCCACTAGGATGAAGTACAAACTGGCTGGCTGCTCTTAAAACAGAGAAGCTTTCCAGCACATGTGACTTGTGTTTGCATACAACACTACAGAAAACATGGAAGGGGCAAAAGAGAACGCTAGTTGAAGATAACCATGGTCAGAGAGCCCAGTGATCACCAGGCAAGGCCACAGTGACAAGACAAGACTGACTGGGAAGTCAGTCTGTGGGTCAGGACCAATAAGGTCCCCAGTCAGACAAGTCATTCTGGGTACATCTCCAGTGATGAGTTTGGTTAGACAGGTGAGATGCCAGAAGTATGATTATCAGAGTGCAGTGAATTCAACACTAAGATCTCCATTTTATTGACTTCAACATTTTTCAGACCCTGCCATCTGTGTGATTTGCCCATGGTCAGTACTACTGTCTGCTGAAGGAAATTTGTTTTTCCAAAACAATGCATCTCAGTCAGAAGCTGCCCCTTTCAGTCCGCCAGAACTGCTCCACCGCCCAAGTAAAAACCAGCACTTTGGACTAATAAAGGTAAGGTATTTTGCAAAGTGCATCTTGACAGCACCTCATGAAGACAAGCTTGTGGGTTTTAATGCAACACACCAGGCACCTACTGTCACATCCCAGTATTATTTGTAAAGGTCCACAGAAAGGAAATAGTGAAATGGTGTTCAAGCAGGTATGGTAATTGTAATCCCAGAAGCAGCAGGACTGCAGTATCTGTACAATCAGAGGATGGAAGCAGTCCTAGGAAGTCAGAAATACGTTCAGCTTTGTTAACAATTTATTTTTCTTCTCTCTGACAAATGAGTCTCTCTGGAAAGACAGTAAGATAAAATATTCAGGCACCTTAAAGTTTTAAATACCACTCAGACCACATACTCCCCTCAGGCAGAACACAGTATTTTCAGATTCCCACATAACTGACCACTTAGACACTAGGCAGAAAAATGAAGCTGTGGAATATGCAGCCTTATTCCAGTAATTATTTTCCTGCATATAGCAGCTAGGCAGTCCCATAGGTAGGGGAGAATTTTAATCAGCAATGGGAGAGCTTCAAAATTAAGAAAGGAGTTCAAATTTCTTTCCCTATTCCTGGCATCTTTGAACAGAGGGCAGCCTGGCTCAGCCCCTCAAGATGAACAGTACTAATGATGCCATGATGATTTTTTGCCTTTTCTCTTACATACTTTTTATATAACTTTTATGTATCCTCAGCATTCTTAGCATGCATACTTGTAATTCCTTAAGTCTGATAACTTAGCAGAGCCCTAGTATTTTGTTAAGTCAGGAGACCAAACATCCTAAAGGCCTCATAGTAGGAAGCCAGAAAACCCTATGCTATCTTGGGAAACCAAGGTCCTGTCTAGAACATATCCTGTAAACTGGAGATTTGGCCCATCTGGGGAAAGTTTATTGAATGGGGAAATAGCACACCATTTATCCAGGCCTCCCATTGGGGCACCCCTGTTAAATATGCAAATCTGTAAAGTCTATAAATTGCATACACGATCTGTCGTGTGTGTGCATTGCAACACATCCCACCTTGGCGAAACAGTGCAACATAAGGATCCTTATTAAAATACCAAGGCAAAAACCCCTTATCCCTTAACTGTGTCTGGCTCTCAGTTTTTTAATACCAGGAAAAGGCATCACTAATTGCATGCAACCTAGTCCATAGGCTAAGAGTCACTATTTTACTTTTAGATATGTTTAGTCTAGTTTTAAAAAAAAATATATCTGATTTTTCATATATGATTTTTCATATATGATTCTGTGACTTCTGCCATTTTGTGACCAAAGACACAAAAAGATGGTGTGTCTAGCATGAGGCCTTCCTGTACTAATTTCCTGTATTGATTTCACACAGGGTTTCCTTTTCTGTTTTGACAGATGCTGGTGTATTCCTTAGGAATGACCCTCTATTGGTCAGCAGATTACCAGGTTCCTCCAAACCAGGCCAGTAACACAAACATTTTTGTTTTCTTTTATTCTGGTAGGTTCAAAGAATAAGAAGCATAGTCTAAAGTACCACTAAGAGGGGCTTTGTGTTTTGGACCATTAGGAAAGAATTGAAGAGCTTGTGTCAAGGTTTAAGTTTCACCAAAAATACCAGTTCACATAAATCAGGAAATTTAGTTGGAGCTCACCTTTCCTTTCCTTTTTTTTCCCCACTCTATTTCTTCAAAGACCAGAATTTTTCTTATTAAGATAAATTGTATCTTGATTTTAAGGGTGAAGGTTATTTATTCCAAGACAATTAGGAACAGTTGTCTTGGAATAAACAATTGTCCCCACTACCCAGGGAGGTGGTTGAATCTCATCCCTGGAGGTATTTAAAAGATGATTACTGGTGGCACTTAGGGACATCATTTAGAGGTGGACTTGACAGTGTTAGGTTCATGATTGCACTCAATGATATTAAAGGTCTTTTTCAACCTAAATTATTCTATGATTCTATTATTCTAAGGACTCAAACAAAAACATCTTGTTGGCATGATTGTGGTGCTGTGCACATTTATGTGCTTTTTCAAAAATGGGATGGAAGAATAAAACTAAATAACTCCCCTTATTTCTGAGCAAATTCTATCAGTATCTCTGCTAGCTGAAAATATAAGTTTCTTGCTTACCCAGAATCCTTTCAAAGACTTGTAATATATTTTGCTTCATTTCCATATTGATGCTTTTGGTTGCTTGTTCTCAATTTGGGGAGCACAGGTTTTTAGTAGATTTAACCTCTCTTTTACATTCTATGAGAAAAAGCTTTATAAGCTAAATGGCCTTAAAATATAAGTATCTGGTTTCTATGACAACAGTTGTGGCTGGTCAAACTCCTCACCTTTTTGAAGCTAATGCTACCACATACCTTACTTCCATGAATCTTTGATTCACATTCTAATTAACAAAGCTCTGGAGCAAACTGAACTGTCTGTCACCAAGAAGCCCCTAATTGGGCCTGCAATCATTCTTGGAGATGTCAATTCCAAAGCTATCCTGGATCCCACTAAAGGTGCATTCCATGCTGTTATGCTGCTTGTCTGGAATTCTCCCAAAGTCTAAAGGAATTCAGTGCATGTTTCTCACCCAGAGTGAAAGGCTTACAGAAATTCCTGGTCCCAGTTTGCCTAGGATTTCAGTCCCCTGGGAGATGTCATTTAACAGTACCTCTGTTTTGACTCAGTCCCTCCAGCTGAGTGACCAACTACATGCTCTCTTGCTGACACTGTGTGAAGATCTGCCACACAGAAGACTTTCTCCTGAATCCATTCTGGAGGCATGTGAAGCACATCAGAAGGAATCTGCTTCCTTACCAGCAAAGTTCTACATAAGGAGAATGGTTCAGTTTGCAGTGGGAAGTGCCAGCGAGGTAAGTACTACTCCCAAACTCCAGTCATCTCCTTTTCTGCAGTGAGAGAGGTGCTCAGCAACACGGGAGACAGGGGAGTGATTGCCAAAATTAATGTTTGTATGGATTAAGGAAGCGAGATTTGGTTCTAAACTTCTAGGCAGGAAATTGTGTGGGCATGTGTACAAGCAAATAAAGCAATGAAGCCATCTCACACACCACTTCTACACTCCTGGGAAGTGATTGAGCTTTTGTACTTATAGTATCTTAATTTCTTTAGGTAGTACAGAAGCAATCATAACCTTTACAGAGACCTCATATTGGCCAAAGTAAAGGACTTTACACAACAGTAAAAATTTCTCCATTGCCATTCTTGTTTCCGACTTTCTTAATGAAATTCAAAGAAATCTCATTTACATCATATTGGGAAATTAGGTCATTGTCCTTGTGTGAAACTGAATATTTGCTGTGCAATCAAGCCTGACCACATGAGTTCTTTAAAAAATGAGCACATAAGTTTTTTTCAAAATTTGAAATATCAAAAACCATTTTTGTTGACAAGCTGAATGACAACAGAAGTAAACACATATTATTTTTGTTTTCAATCAGTACTCATAAAGATTCTGAGAATAATTTTTCCCTTGCACTCTTTCTTACTCTCTTTGCTACTGTAACAGAGGGTGTCCTCTCTTAAACTTAGCTAGCATGAGAGCATGGAACCAACATACTCAGTTCAGCTTTGTGTTAATCTGAGAAAATGAAGTTGCTTATACAAAGCAGATCAGCAGCCTCTGACAGCCAGAGGGCAAGGATCACTTCACTATGAGAGTCTGAAGTTCACATACCATATGACACTGACTTTGAATATTACTGCCTTCCAGACAGAGCAGGTGGTCACTGAAGACAGCACAGCCTCTCATCTGAACAGAAGTCACGTGATAAGGAAAAGACTGCATGAAAAAATATCGGACACCTCAACACTGGCATCCCAGATGAATTTTCACCAAGGTAAAGAAAGATTTATAACCTGAACTCTCTAATACAGACAGCCTTTTCTGTGTCTTTCCCAAAGTAGATGGATTGTTTAATTTCATGCTGTAGTGATTACATGTAGTGTTGGATAGGATAGTTATTGCTGTACATCTAAATTACTTCATAATGGAAAGACTCTGAGGCAAGTCACTGAGGTTTCTTTTTCTTATTTCCACAAAGGACAGGAGTCAGGGCTGTGAAGCAATGATAACAAATCAGCTTGCACAGATTTGACTCTTAAAGCACTTTGCATAAAACCTGTGCATATAAAACTCCTCTACTTTCAAAACTGCTTTTGTACTTTGTATACTCCAGTGTGTTTTTGAAGGTGGTGTTCTGTGAGGTTATCCTCTTGCCATTAAGGAATATATATTCATCTTTCCTATTTGACTATTCAAGGAAAGATTTGTGGTTTATTTTTTTTTATTTTGGTTTAGTTTTTTATTCAAAAGATGCTTTAGAAATTCACACATGAATTGCTGGAGTGATTTCAAAACAAGGTCAAATCCTCCTCACTATATAAATAAAACAATTATATAACATAGTATCTAAAAGTATATAACAATTTTTTTATTTTGACAAAGATCAAGGTTTATTATCCCTCAGAGTAATTCTATAACTATCTTTTTTCTAGTGTCTACACCATACTGTTCACTTTGACAGAGATCTCTGATTTTGGAGCAAAGGGAAAGCTGGCCCAAGCTATACAGGATTTTTTTTTTTTTATATGCTCAGCATTAGGCATATGAACAATACAACTCCTATTCAGCAAGTCACACATATGCTCTGTGAAATCAGCTGGAATCAAACACAGACTTCAATATATCTGGAACATTTCTATTAGGTATTATTGGTTACAAGAAAGGGGATTAATTTGGAAATATATAGACAAACTACCCCTCAAGCCATATTGGTTCACTTACTCAAGAACTGAGCTGTAGATTCACACCTGCAAGCGTAGGTAGAAATTCTGCTGCTGCCAAAAGGGATGGCCCCATTTTCAACCCTGTATTAGCCACAAATTCCTGCCAGTTTCCTTACCTTGGTTCTAGGGATTATGTATCTGGTGTGATCTCTGTGTCTGCCCGTGAATCAGGTCACTTGACTTACACTGGCCAAAGGACTTCAATGAATTAGGGTGTCAATTATGCTGAAAATGTGTGAGCTGCACTTTGCAAGACAGCATTCCATTTCTTTCTTTTTTTTTAATTAAAAATTATGTTTCAGAGATTCTGTACAAGGACAAGAGAGAATGCAAACAAAGTAAAATCAGTGTGCAACAAAAATATGTACATCCTAATGAATTAGGATGACCCATTAATGGAATTTCTGCATCTGACTCTGGTAGTGGATTCTGTTTGGACATTGTCCACCCTGCACACAGAAAGAAGAAGTTATAGCTCAAGGTTTTGGACCTCAGAGTACAAGGAATAAGAACTTTGCAGGTTATCTGCACTTTGCAACCATTCAGTTATATAGAACAGAATTAATATAGAACAGAATTAATGTACTAGATTTGTTTTATATGAAATAGTTGAGAACTGTGAAAACCAGATTTGGCCAGAGTAAGATTATGAAAGCAATAGAATCAAGTTACCAAGCTTTCCTCAGTCTTTAAGGAATTGTAGTCAGGGTTAGAAGACAGAAGGATGAGGACTATATGAAAATTAACCAATCCAAATGTTATTTACATTAACATGCAAATACAACTACTTATAATCCAAGTATATGATTCACCACATTTCCTTTCTGTTTCCAGACAAAGGGCCCAGATTAATGAACTATAGTCAATCAACAGAAGATTACAGACAACTCTCTGCAGATTATAGTGACTCTAATAGTATATCTGAAAGTACATCTTTGATACTGTCTAATCGAGGACACAGGAGAGGTATGATTTTTAAAAAAGAATATGTTTGTGAATTACGTATTCATCTCTTTTGTCCTCTGAAGTGTGGGACTGACCACGTACTGGATGATTGATACTCCTATGCAACTTGTGGTTATGTAACTTGGGAGGTATATTTGTGCTAAGTTGTAGAGAAGAAAGATAATTTTATATTAGATTCTTTTTCACTTGTGTCCTACAGTAAAGCTATATATTCCCTGGTTGCCATGTAGCCCCATCACCTCTTTCTTGCTTCATGCCCCCTTTGCCAGGTAAATCTGCTCAGCAGGTCACAAAGCTTGACATTATGTTTTTAGCACATGGGGTCTGGACACAGCAAAGGTGGGGCTACCCCACAAATGCATACAGTGGGCAATGTCAAGATGTCAGCTCCAAAATCAGTTGAATCTATAAATAATACCTAGGAGTGAATGTTCTATGAAGACATAATTCAGAGAGAAATTAGGCACATCCTGGGAAAAAAAACCCATCATGTCTTACCTCTCAGCCCTAAGCCCTCAGCCCAAGGATGAGGAAAGTGAGGTCACTCCTGTTAATGCTCTCCTCCTGCAAGGTGCTTTTCTGAAGCTCCAGAATTGCAATCAATATCAGCAGCGATAAAAACCTGAGACTGCAGTTGCTCCATGAGTGACACATATGTGTGAGTCACATACACAGTCACACACAGGGAAGGTAAACTCAGAACAGAAATCTGTTTTGTAAGCAGTTTAAAAGACAATTTGGTCATAAACTTGACAAAGGCTCATTCTAGTGACTTTGTGCATATCTCAGTCTCATTGAAACACTGGTTGCTGTGCATACTCAGGATTTTGTAAGAGAGGATTCCAAAAATACATGAATAAACACAGAATGTGAGAGCCTGCTTGTCACAGACATTCTTTCATGAAATCATATATTTTTAAAAAAAGCATTCTTCTATGAAAAGAAATATTACCATCTAGTAGAACATCATCATCAAAGGAGATTAATATCTCTATCAAGACTGTACATTAGGAGCACATTTAACATATAGTAAATCTACAACATCAATTTCTTTGAAGAATACATGCTAATTTAATGTCAAGTGTGTGCTGGATTTGTGATCAAAGCATGGGAGTCTGGCCACTGAGAGTAGCCAAGTTGTCCCACTACTGTAACAGCTGATATAGAAAGTCTAAGGGGACTTTGATGATCTTGTCAAAATATATTTATGCAATTATATTAAAACCACAGTGCAAGCAGAGAATTTTGTGAGGTTTTCTGATTAAAAAGCATGTTGTTTCAGAACACAGGATTGAATCTTAACTTTGGTAACTAGCTTATCTCAAATCTCACATTTTGTCACTACCATCTGCAGCTTGAAAAATCCCCACATGTTTATGCTTATTTTAGCAGTGGGACTGTAGATTTTCTAGGTTTCAAAATTGCAGTAGGTTGGTTGGTACACTAGAATTCAGCGTCACGTTTCATGATGGCATTCAGTGTGAAGCCTTAGGGTGTAGTGCATGAATGTTTTATCAAAATGATTGCTTTAACACAGCTTATCTTACCACCTCTATCACCCTACTTATGTAATAGTTTGATATGCAATTCTTCAAATAAGCTCAATGAAATGATCCAAGTGAATAAAAATTTAACCTTCTCACCCTTCCCTAAAGATTTCAAACATCTCTGCTGATACAAGAAGCATTCACAGAACTACCACTTGCATAACCCTCTCTGGTTCTGCCTCTAAATTTCAACCTTCATGTGTTTGGACAAAGCAACACCTGTCCATTCTGTAGCAAGAAGATGATTGAAGGTGAAAAACAATACAATCCTTATTTGTTAAGGACCCTCAAACCATCCACTATTCTTGCCATGTTTTTATGTTGTAGAAACATTCACAATATATTTAACATAGAAAGTAACCAGTGGAATAGACACAACAATTTTCATTTTATTGATTTTATATTCTACTCTGATTAAGCCAGAGAAGTTTCATGCCTTTTACCACCCATATAATGCCTGAAAATAGAAGAACAAAAATTGGGCATAATTTCTGAAGAAAAAAAGCTGATTCACAAATTTCCCCCATAGAGATGGAAATGACAGACATTGTACCTACACAGCTGTTTTCCAAATTACATTCACATACTGGGTTATGAAGAGGAAGTAACAATAACTAGGGAACTGGGAATACTGCTGGAGCAGTATTCACTAACCTTATTAAACAGCCATTTATCATGTCCAAGCAAGGACACAAGAGAGGAAGCTGCCAGTCTAAATTTCTTCCCTGTTGTAATTGTCCTAACATCTGATGCTGAGTGCTGCTACTATCACTTGAATTTTTATATTTCCTTTATTTATTGCAGGAAAAGTTCCAGAGACACACAGATCATGTGACACTACACTTAGTGGGTCAAGGACAGAAAGTAGCTACAAGCTCTTCATAAACAGGTAAGCTCAATTCAGATTCTACAAGATGGAAGCTGTTTTATAAGCAAGTGAAGCCAGCAACTAGTGTGGCAATGCCAGTATCAGAAAATGCCTGACATGCCATCCGAGACTGTTTTAATAACAGATACTAATTATATAGCATAAATAACTTATGCTATATAATAATAAATAATAATAAATATATAATAATAAATACAAGACAATATAATATAATATAAATAAATATAATACAATATAATATAATAATATAATAATATTATATATAATATAATAATATTATAATATGATAATAAACACAATATAATATAATATAATATAATATAATATAATATAATATAATGATAAATAATAATTACACATAATATATAATAATATATAATATTAATATAATATATAATAATAAATACATAATATTCTATTATGTAGAATAAATAAATACTGTTCACCTAGACTTGGTTTGGTTCCAAGTGGAACAGTCCAAAAGCTCTAGTGAAATGGAACTTGGGCCTGAACAATCTATACAAAACAAATTCAGGATCTCCACATTTACTCTGTACCATCTGTGTTCTGCCAGATGTCACAGGCCTCCCAGAACAGCTGCCCCCAGCTGTGTCTCCACCAGGCAGGGAAGCAGCACTAGCCCTCTGTGACTGAAACAGCTGGGAAGCTGCTCCACAGAGACTGTGAAAGGATGGATTTGATGATCTTAGAGGTCTTTTCTAACCTTACTAATTATATATTTTATTAAAGAAAAGGTATGAATAGTCATGGCTTTCCCTGTCAAGGCATTCTCTCAGACCCCTTATTTGTCCACATTCAGATTTTGGATGTGGTCTTGCCTTGCTGTCACATTAAAGTGTGTTCTGGAGTGGTTATGTCAGACCATGTATATAATGTATAATTTTCATTTGTATTTCCATCTCAGTCCTTATACTGATTTTTCTCACTTGTGTCAGTCATATCCAGCCCTGCACCACCACTGGACTGGAGAGTTACAGGTAAGCCAGGGTCACAGGCAGTAAAGACCTCTGCTCTGCCATGAGGATTAGCCTCATTTCAGCCATGGCATGGACAGCAGCCTTGTAGACATGGGCAAAGAAAACTGAGGATTGTACAACTGATGCTAACTTCTTTTCAAAAGCCAGGGAAACTCCACTGCTGCCAAACAAGAACTTTCTAGACTGGGTGTTAGCACAGTGCAATCATGGCTGCTTCCAAACGAAGGAGATGTAAGCACTGTCAGCCTCTAGGCACCACAAAGACCAGAATCCCAAAGTTAAGCACCCTGTAATCCCTACAGACATCCCATTTAAATTCAGTTCTTGACCCAGTTAAACAGGAGTTTCTTCTTTTAACCATGACACGAGTAATTCAGGCCCACAGGAAATGCTCAATTTAGATCAACTCCCAATTAAATGTGTCTCAAGTAAACAGTTTGAACTTCCTGATAAATCAGCCATGATAATCTGGACAATATGAGATATCCCAGTACATCTGTAAAACTGCAACAAGAGAGATCTACAAACAGATTGCAGAAGAGTGGCTGCTTTTGTCAAGAAAGAAGTCTCTGTCTGCTTGTCTAACTACACACACAAGCATTTACATGTGTGTTCACAGACATCTATATATGCATCCTATATCTAGCAGTTATATGAGTATCTGAAGATTTATTTACTGAGTTCTTCAGAGCAATTGCCATGCCTCTGACTAAAAACCTGGGTATGATCTTAATATGCATGATCTAAAATCATGCTGCCAAGAATAAGTTCGCCTCCTCTGCTGAAGGATGAACTCTGTTCTCCAAATTTCCAGCAAGCTGCTTCCCATAGAACTTCAAGGACTGTAAACCCCACTCCTGGTTGCAAGCATCTGCAACTGAATTTCTACCATAGTCACCATTCTATTACAAGTACCATGACAGCAGTGGAGTTGAAATTACTTTGGAAATCACCAGTTTTCCATGTAGGAGTACAACCAACACAAAGATTAGTGATGGGTTTACTATCTATAAAGCTTACTAATATCATCATGCTCATTCTGTAGGCAGCCCAATTAACATAATTTACATCTCACAAAGTGAAGCTTGTAAGCAAGGCTCTGGTCTGTATCTAAAGAAGACAACTGATTTGACAACTGTCAAATCTGGCATCTCTCATCTAACAGGAGTAATAACAGGAAGTGCTTTCCACAGGAAAAGAAAACCTTCTTAATAAAAAAAATTTGGATTTTGAGCTAAAAATATTATTATATTTTTATTATTACACAATAATAATAAAGGTCACTTCAGGTAATTTTGAGGCACATTTCTTAAGTAAATGTTGACCTTTATGAGGTTGCATTGATAGAAAGAAAAATAACTAGCTATCTTTATAGACAGAGGAATGTAAAATACAATAGGAGAGGAAGAGAAAAGAAGAGAAGAGAAGAGAAGAGAAGAGAAGAGAAGAGAAGAGAAGAGAAGAGAAGAGAAGAGAAGAGAAGAAGAGAAGAGAAGAGAAGTTGGAAAAGACTCACAATAATCATCTAGTCCAACTGCCTGACCACTTCAGACTGACCAAAACTTAAAGCATGTTATTAAAGGCATCTCCAAATGCCTCTTAAAAACTGACAGGCTTGGACCAGTGACCATCTCTCTAGGAAGCCTGTTCCAGTGTTCAGCCCCCAGTGAAGTAAATAAATGGTTCTTAACATCATCTCTGAACCCCACCTACTGTGGCTTTCAGCCACTCCCACATTCCCTGTTATTGGATACTAGGCAGAAGAGATGAGAAACTGCTCCAGTGTAATTTGTTAAAATTTTTAGAAATTCCTAGAATAATTTCCTGATGTAAATCTGCAACGTGCAAAAGAAAAGGATGAAGCTTTGGGATAATGGAAATGCTTCCATGTGTCTTTGGCATTTGTTGAAAAAATGTAATTAACAAAAATCCACCTCAACACAACCCTTTTTTCTGAACCACATAATCATTATTTGTTCATTGAGTACATAGTATATTTGAAGTTTATTCTAAGGATACATATCTACTCACAAGGAAAACACCATTACTTTCTACATTAAAACTATAGTACAAAGATAGCTTTCTGATCTGAGATTTCACACACCTTTTTCTTAATTAAATTGAAAATTCCCTCTGTTCCCTAGGACATTAATTTATCCTAATGAATTAGTATTCAAATAATTTAATTCCCATTCCTAGAAAATTCTTAATAATGTAACAACAAATGTTAGGGCTTTCTGAAGCTTTTTTCTTGAGGAAATAAGAAATCAGGAATTTGCTTCATCCTGTAGAATTCCCAGAAGGGAATGGGGGGGCTACACTCTGCCTGTTGGCTTCAACAAACTTAAACCACCTGGATCTGGCTCACCAAATGAAGAAAAGAAACAAACTTGATTCTATTGAATCAAAGCAGAGTTTAGATTTATTTATAAAGGGCACCAGTAATAGTACTCCTGTTAAATTATTTCTCTATTTCTGTAAAGAAACATTAAGGAGCTTATAACAGACATTGCCCTGGACTTCATGGTATTCTAGCAGTTACTGTACCTTAAGCTGTCTGTCCCCAGGTCGCTGTTGTGTTGATTGCATGCTATATATTTTCTCAGTATGACATTTCCTGTGCAGGTCGGTGAGCGCTGTAGAAGAAATCCCAGGTGGAGCTCAGAACAGCCGACAGAACCTGCTAAGCTTGGGCTCCACCTTCTCTGTGTCCACAAAGGACTACTCAGCACCTGCTGCATCACAGAAATGTTTGTTCCACAGGAAAGAAAAGGTGAATGATGAAAAACATATAAGCGGATTTCAAAATGTAAATATCACTAAAGAGAAGCTTCTCATCTAATTTTTGTCTGACAGTGATGTGCATATTAGCTACTGACTCATCTTATTAGATGAGTATTCTAAATTGACAGACTCCAAATTAGGCATAATCCAGTTGTACTGTCAGAAGTGAAGACAGCAAAAGCAATTGTCCATAAGGACTATGCAAAAGCTCATAATTGAACCCTCTCTGACCTACATATGTGATTTCTGCCAGCATCAAACACCATATGGACTGTTTTCACCAACCACTTTGACAGCAGTTTCAGAACAGCAAAAAAATTTACAGACACTTTACCCAAATGTCTGCCAGCCAGTGATGCTCAAAGGACTTAAATTTTTTTTACAGTGCATGTCTGGACAGAAAGCATAGGCTGGCAGTGAATGTGCCCAGACAGTAATTCTCCTAATTGACTATTTCTACATGCTAAGTTGTGGTAGGACTCTGTTAAATGGAAAGGATAATGTTTCTTTAAAAGGTATGTTGTTTTGCAATCTTGCAATCTTTTCTGGATTGCAAACATTCAGAAAAAACTGAATCACAGAAAACTCCACCACGATCCTTCATATGGAGTTTTCTGTTGTGGAACAAGAAGGGACAGGTTTCAGGCTGATAAGCCCTTTCATCCCCTCCCAATTCAGAACCTCAACAGTGACCAGTGACAAATATTTGGTATAATAGCTTCAGTTAGATACTTTGGAAAATTATCTTTTCTCATATAAATTTTGTTTTAAATTTTATTCTTATGGTTTTTGTGGGGATAATAACAGCCTTTCACAGGAGTTCAGCAACTGTTACAACACAGTGTTAGTCCCTCTTTAATGTGATACAAAACTGCATTGTCTGTTGGTAGGACTATACTATTATTAGTTTTTTTTAAAGTATCCAAATGGGTCAAGTTACTAAGTCATGGTGAACAGCTGGAAGGATTCACATCTTATTACTTGAAGACATTTAATTATTTCTGTCTGCTTAAAGGATCTAAATGCATAGATGTATCTGATATATAAAATTAGTCGAGGTGAATACTCAGCAAGAAAAAAAGACCTTAAAACTGTTGAAGCTATTTGAAATTAAAACAAAAGAATACAATGTCTACTAATAAGAACCATCAGTCAGCCTTCATTATGGGGAAGAAAGCAGCTCTGCATTTCAGTCTAGTGCCTAGGGAAGCTGGGCTTATTCAATCACAGCAGTGTGTATGTATGAGTTTACGTGTCTGTGACTGTCCTCAGAGTAATTTAGGAATCAAATGAGAAAAGATCTCAGAATAAATTAAGTTTCTGTAAGTGTCATGAAAATAGGTGCCTTGCAAAGGAAATGGATCTTGTTTAAGTGCCTCTACAGAAGAAAAGGCTTCAGCATGAGCTTACCTCTACTCAGATCCTGGAGAGTCTACACAGGAGAGACCCCAAACAGAGAGAAGTCATCAATCAGCATTTGCACCTTGTTAGACACTGAAGTCAATTAGGTCCAGCATACAGATCAGTAGAAATGGGTTTCATTGATGATACTTGTGTTTGGGATCTTCATTCCGTTAAGAAGACTTACTAAATTTCTAAATTGCCTCCTTGCAGTTTTCAGGTCCAGAATTTATTATTTTGTCCAGTGAACCACCAGTGACCTTACAGCTGCCTGGATCAATTGTGGTAAGAATGAACATTAAGAATCTAGAACTAAACCAGTGACATTTTAGTCAGGACTCTTTGTAAGCAGCACCTGAGTCTCAAGCCAGTATTCTCTCCATGTCCTCCTCTCAAAACAAGTTAGGGTTCCTGCAGAGGTATTGAGACTTGAAAGGATGTGCTTTAATTCTTAGTGCTATTTAGTTCTTTCTGTTGGTGCAAAAAAAGCTTAATTTATCCTTCTCAGCTAAGAATGTTCACTTTAGCCCTAGACCTTTGAGACAAAGACTGTACAGCAAATCTGCAGTATGACATCTAGTTCCAATGTATGGGACTTCTCCACCTTGCAAGCACATACTTTACTTTTCATTAAGATGAGGCAGAAAGTTGACAGAGACAGAAGTAAAAATGAGAGCAAAACTATTTGGAATTAACCCCAAATCTAGAATAACCCTGGTGACTGGAGAATTTGAGTACACTCAGCTGTTTTGTTGTGATTCTTTGGGTTTTGAGAAAATTAGAAATGTCTGTGATATTAATTTATGAGAAGGAGGGCAGAGAATAGCATGGTGTTGTGACCAATTCCATCAGGTTGTATAGAGACAGGCTACTTGTGGGCCTCAGTAATAAAATGTTGTGGAACCTGCATTGCTTGTACTTGGCACTCATTCTTCATTCTTTCTTGCATGTTCTTAGACTAAAAAAGGGAAATCCTATTTGTCCCAAAGGGATCTCAATGTGATTCTACTCAATGGCCAGTGCCTTGAGGTGCAATGTGACATCAAGACCAAGGCAAGAGATGTTTTCAATACTGTGGTGGCCTATGCAAACTTGGTGGAACATTTCTACTTTGGCTTGGCTTACCTGAAAGGTAATGAGACAGTTAAGTACAGTGACAGCTCTGTCCCTCAGTACCTCTGTAGTCACTTTATCAATGAATTCCAGCAAGAATTCATCAAAGAATCATTCAAGAATTCATCAAAGAATCATTCATCAAGAATTCATTCAAAGATCCTTTAAGATCCTTAGGTAGAAGCAGATACAAAGCTTGTGCAAAAGTAAGGTGTGTTGGTTTGAACTGCAGTGCACTGATGTCAAGCATGTCTGCCCTAGGACTGTGCATCAGCACAGCCATACAACATTTACTGGCTGATATTCCCAGGCAGAAAAGAAAAGGCTGTGTCCCAGCCTTGCACTCAAACAATACTGAGCCATGCAGCTTCAGCAGAAATTCTAGGAAGCATTGCACTGGGAAAGGCTGCCTGTGTTTATTCCTAGATATAAGTGGTAGCACAGGTTCATCTGTGTCCTCTACCAGACCCACATCTCGCTAGTCCCCTTCTGATGGCAGGCACAGCTGAGGCACTGAAGAGCACACCTTGTGTGTAGGGCATGAGGATTATAAAGGGATGCAGAACCTGAGTGGTGAGAAGAATGCAAGCCCCATGAATCCTTGAGTGATTTCTCAGATACCATACTAATCCAGCATCTAACATTTGTAATCCAAAATTACATACTGTCCTAAGTTCTACATCAAAGGAGCAATACGTTAAATCATGACACAGAGAAGTAATCTCAGCTGACATCCCCAATCCATTTTATTTTTTATCGCTAGTGATGCACTCTATGAAGACAGCAGAATTAAGCTGCTGAAGTATGTCCAGGTTTATCACAGAACCCAAAATTCTCATTTCAGGTAAAGAATTCTTCTTTTTGGATGAGGAGACCAAACTCTACAAAGTGGCCCCAGATGGCTGGAATGACCAACCCAAGAAGAAAATGTCCATCATCAATTTCACTCTCTTTCTAAGGATAAAATTCTTTGTCAACCACTTTAATGTTATTCAGTAAGTGCAAAATTCTGCTGACTGAAGGAAACCAGTAGCATTTAGGGATACCATTCAAAGCTCCTCCTGAGTTCCTAAACCCTTTTCTATTCCAGGCATGGCTTGACAAGGCATCAGTTTTACCTGCAGCTTCGTAAAGATATTTTGGAGGAGCGATTATATTGCAGTGATGAGACTGCCCTGAAACTCGGCGCTTTGGCTTTACAAGCAGAGCTTGGCAATTATGCTTCTGAGGTGTGCAGAAATAATACAGTATTTCTCAGAGGTCTCTCTCTACAACTTTTGCAGCTTTTGTTTGTCACACAGAGTTTAAAGAAAAAATGTGAATAGCAGAGAACTTCAGTTAAGTCCTCCAGATAAGTCCCTCAGACTTAATTTTAAAAATTACAAAATATTCCTGATTATGGAGTAGTAATGAGCCAGGTGAATTTACCAGGAAATATGGCAGAATGAGTCTGGGTCCTTCATGATTGATAATATATCCTAGAAACTCCAGAAAATCTGTAGAAAGTTTCTAACACAGGCCCAGCCCGGATGTGCAGAAGGGCTTAAAGAGATTAGTAAATAGGGAAGAGAAAAGCAAAGGAACACTTCAGAATTCACAGCTATCTTATGTGTAGGCTCAGATCCACAAGCTGCAAAGACAGGGAGGTCTCTGACTGTATGTCTGAACTAGCTGTCCTAGTTTTCAAGTGTAAAGAAAACACCCATTTATGTTGGCTTCCATATCTTCAGCTATGTAAATCAGGCTAGCTCTGTTAATTGAACTCTGAATGGTCTGATCCATGTGGTCAGATCTACCATGGCAATGGGTCCCCCACTGCAGGTTGTACTGATGCAGCTGTAGCTGTCAGCTCCAAGGGCAGGACACACCTGCAGGCCCAGCTCCTTTCTCCCCTCTGCCCAAAGAAGTGGTGTGTGCTTTGAGCAGCTGCCTGAGCACAGGGCAAAGAGGCAATTTGGCTGTCAGGACACTGCGTGCTGTCCCCACTTCCCTTTGGGAAATGGCAGCAGGGTGACTTCTGCATACAGGTCACCCTGAAAATGAAATGCAATGAATAAGAAAAGTCAGGAAAGAACAAAAGGCTCCTGTCTCTTTGTTTTTTTCAATTCTTTCCCCCACAGATGCATGGAAAGAGCTATTTTCGTGTTGAAGACTATGTTCCAGCCAGTCGAATAGAGAAAATGACCCTGGCATATGTACAGAGAGAGCTTGCTAAATTACATCGTATGAATCGCTCCCTATTTGAGGATGAAGCTGAACTAGAATTTTTAAAGGTAACTTGCCATACCCCAAACACGATTTACTAATTTTGAGGTAGAAAGCCCCTCTCTATTTACTGTTGTCTATTTTCTTCTAGCCTGATACAGTGGATTTTAGATATGGTGAAAAAATTTGAATAGTCAACAAAAACCTCAGAATTTCATTCTGCTGTAGATACTGTCACTTATCACTGACAGTTTTTATGGCCTGTTTTGGTGTATTTACAGCATTCTAAGGTTTGATGTAAATTTTTGGCATGTTACCAACAAGTCTGGGCTCCAGAAGATTATAAAACATTAGAATAAGCACTTTTTTTTTACTTCAGAAATTACAGCAGCTGTTCAGCCACTGCCTAAACATGTAGCAATTGTTTGTTTAAAAGCATCTGTGAACCCTGGAGTTATCTGAAGTATTTTCTCACTTGACTATTTTTCTAGGGCTCGAAAGTGTCACGATGATGTGGGATTTAACTTTTTTCCTGCTAATTTCTCTTTCTCCCCAAACCTCTCTGCTTTCCATCAAATGAAAAATATCAGGGATTAGATAATGGATAAATACCAGTAGTCATTTTGCTGCAGTGCCACATGCTGGTATTTATAGCATAATTTAGTTCAGTTGCTATTTAATTATATTAGTTCCTCATCTAACACTGTCAGTGCAATTGAAGAAATAGATTGAAGCTTAGCCTTAATGACAGTCCCATCATGTGTGGCAAATCCAATGAAGAAAAAGCAGCTTTGTTTAGTATCTGTTTCAATGAATAAGTCTGTAGAAGGAGTCAACTCATCATACAAAGTGAGAAAGACAGACCCCATGGCAAGAACATGTAAATTCCAAATATGAAAGGGATTAAAAATTAAAACCCAGATTCAGCTAGTTATTATAGATGCCCCAGTTTTCAGGACCTGAACATTTGTACTGTGGTTACTTTCTGAAAAAAAACAGATCTTCTTAAAGCGTTTTATTTTGGTCACTGAAAATCTCTGTTCACAATTGAAAAGTCATTTGAGGATTCTACATTAGCTTCCCAGAAAGAAAATATAAGGTTTTAGGATAAACTCACATTGGTCTCCAGATCAGACAGTAAATCCTAGTCATATTCCATAGTTCTGTAATGTGTCTGAGCCACATTTTAACACTTTTGTGGCCAAGTACAGGAGGTAGAAAGACAAGCATGAACACCCAGAACCTCTGGGTGAGTTTCTCAGAATATCCCCTACATGGTTAGATGTCAGGGGCAGACACTGGCTCCTCAGACACTCACAAGCATTTTCTCCTCCATCTACCTTTCTTCTCATGAATCTTTTTGAGTAAGGCATAGTAAAAGCACTTTTTCTCTACAAGGTGACTCAGCAACTTCCTGAATATGGAGTGCTGTTCTATCGTGTGTCCCAAGAGAAGAAAGGGACAGAAGGGGACATCATCCTGGGAATCTGTGCCAAAGGCATCATCGTCTATGAGAACAAAAATCACACAAGAATTGCCAGTTTAAGATTCCAGTGGCGTGAAACAGAGAGGATTTCAGCTCATGTGAGTTGGAACTAACTGAATCTCTTCTCTACTCTTTTACTGCCTCTCTTCCTGTGGCTTTGATAAATTTATTGCATTCAGAATGAGAATTAGATTCACTCTATATGGGCAAGTCCTCTCTGAAAAGTTTAAAATCAAAACTGGATCTGGATGTGCGTATGAACTTCCTGAGTTCTTTGTGAGGTACAGTTCTGCAGTATTTATGCCAAGGCCAAAGACAAATTACCATAAAACTGGATAATCTGGTGCTGACTATTACAGAGACTATGTCAAATCTCTCCACAGCATATTCTATATTCATTCCTCTCTTGTCTTTACTGCTCTTTTCTTCTGTTTTTCTGCCTACATCCCAGACATGGGATGATGTCTTCCACTTTCCACATCTCATTATTCCCACACTCATCTCTTAGCATATTGAAGTCTGCTAACAAACTAGTATTGGTGACAAGATTGTGACCCATTTCTAAATGGAATTTTGACATTAGAGATATACAACATCAATGTTCTGTTGCACAGTTCAGGTGTCAAACTGGATCACACATTTCCCAGCTTGTTTGCTCTCCAAAAGGGGTCCTTCTCCCCCTTGAAGATATGTTCCTTTTCATATTAAATTTGTTTAATACTTTTAACATCTGTAGGACCAAATTTTGCACTTTAGCAAACTGCTATCACTGCATTCAATGTCCTAAGGTTCTTGACTTTCAACGTAGAAGAGTCACGATCCCAGTGACAGACACCCGGCTTACAAGTGCTGAATTTACAACAGGCATTTACTGCAGACAAAAGGAATGCAGTCAGCCATAAATACAACTGAAGAAACCAACAAGATTATATAAATGAATTGTCAGTGCCTCAGCGTAATGACTGGTATATGAAGCAATCTGTGCTTTTTTTTCCTCTTCAGAGAAAAAAATTCATGATTGAAAGCAGCTTCAGTGGTAAGAAACACACGTTCATTACTGATACAGCAAAGACATGTAAATACCTACTGGACCTCTGCTCTGCCCAGCACAAATTCAATGCACAGATGAATTCTAGGCAACTTCGTCAAACTTCATCAGGTGAGGTATAAACACACTTTTGTTACTGGGACCACAGGAAAAGGTTATGTTTTAGGTAAGGTACAATGACCAAATCTGAGAATTAGAACCTGCCACCTCAGTTTCACTCTGCTTCATTTAGAAAATAATGTCTCCTACTACACTGAAAGTTTGAAGAGTCTGATTTGTCTGATTAAGTCTAATTTGGCATGTGCATATGAGTAGGCATGTGCAGGGGGTGAAGAGGAATCCTCTGATGACAACAGCTATGTAGTTAAACTCAGATTTGAAGAAGAAATAAGTGTGATTTTTCCCTTCTCTTCAGGAGAATTCTGCTGCTGAGAATTTTGCAGAAATACATCAGACCTAGCCCAAATGTAGAAAAATGTTCTACACAAATTAAAGCTATAATAGTGCTCAGAAATGCTGGAGCTCCACTTAGTTATTTTGCCTAAGACAGGGATGCAGCCCAGTGGTTCAGTCCCAAGAGAAAACCACTCAACCACTAAAGGCACATGAGTCATACCCACTTAAGTATACAGCTGCTAGCAGCTCTTATCTTAGATTTTGCCATGGCTGTGGAAGATATGAACAGCATCTCCTCAGGCTTCAGATTTTCCATGGTTTCCAACAAGATTCTGCTCCATCCAGGGCAGATACATAGCACATCTCACCCACAGTTCTCAGCATGTTCTGAAAAGAAAGGTGGGGATTATTATGGGGAAACTTAGGCACATAAGAAATAAGATCCTAAGCTGACAGCTGTCATCACTCTTGACTCTGGAGCAACAGGAGTTTTCACTAGCTCATCCTCTGCCTTGAGCAGAACCATGATCATTTACAACTCCTGACTGTTTGACCTGGTGAGTCACTGCAGGAGAATCAAGTGTCCTGCCTTATCTGGTGGGATGCCCCTTTCTGTAGTAAAACCATAAATGTGTTGGCAACAAATACTACCATGGCATGTAACAGGATGATTGATATATTGCCTCCTTACCACTAAAATTATTTCATGAAAGGTGAAATTTTTGCACAAAATTGTTACCATGGAAAAAGGCCCTAGGATGGCATTTAGGTTCAAGGAATCTTGAACCTAAATATTTGGTGCTTGACATCTCCAGCTCCTAACATAATTTAATGGGACTGTGCTTTATTGCATTCAAATGAGTGCTAGTAGTGCATCTTACAGTTTCCTGTGTCACATTTGCTTGTGCTAATTAATCTTTAAAAAATTATTACATCCCATATATAACAGAATAAAATTATTGAGAACCAAGAAAATTATAATCCAAGTACACCAAATTACTGACACAACCCAGACTTACACAGGCCACATGACCCCAGGTTCTGGGTTCAGTGTGTGCTTGCTGTCCCAGAAAAAAGCTTAGTAAGGCAGTGACAGACAGGAGTTCAAAATTCTGCCTTTGCCACCACAGTGAGGCTGTAAGAGATTATGAGGGTCTTTCTGCATGCTTCTGCTTCTGATGCACTGTTCAGATGTATAAGTCACCATCACTTCAAAACTTGAAGCAACCCTCTACTTCAGAATCACTGTGGCAACTCCAAGGCTGTGCTAATTCTCTGGACAGTTAAGCCTTCTGATGCCTTAAGAAATGCCTCTGGTCCAAGTCACTGAGGAAAGAGGGAACCTAGATTTAATGCTGCAGAGCAGTGTTCTAGAGAGTTGTATTCAGGCTACCATTTGTTAGGAAAACACACAGGAGTTTAGCTGTCATGTACAAGCAGAATTTAAGCTCATGTTTATGCTAGCTTGTATCAAGCCCAGTTTTTGTTTTACTTTCCAATGTGTCTCCAATTGTCTGCTGTTCCTCCATCCCCCAAGTCCCATCTTGAGCCCATCCATTCAGAATCTAAATAAACTAATATCTCCTTCAGCACCACCTTGTTTCAGAAAAATGAAATCTTTCGAGAGGACAGATTTTTATATAGCAGAGTCCAGGCATCATTAAGCAAGTACTAGATTTCACAGAAAGGTAGAAAACTGGACAGCAAGTGTTGCCACCAAGATGGTCCCCATTTCACTTCACTTGTGCAAACAACTCAGTTGCTTGGTGTCTCTCTGAACTGCATTTGTAGTATAATTCACAGAAATTAAACCTAAGTGCAGCATATACTTTTTATGAAAGAAAACTCCTTCTACTCACCCCAAGGCCTAGGTATCCTCAAGGATAAAAGAACAAATATATCTGTAATGTCAATATTTATTTCTGGCATATTCAAAAGATTTTATTTAAATTTTTTTTAAGCTTAAAAAGATGCAATAATATCAGTGGATTTGTCTTTGCCTCTTCCCCTCTCTTGCTTCTCATTCAGAGGACAGTAAATTTGTGGAAATAGAGAAATCGAATTCTGCATATGCAGCTCAGCATGAACACCTTGCCCTTATTCAGAGACTGTCTCGCTCAGAGAATGTGCTCTATGGAGCAAACCTGGAAAACCTTTCTGCTGGGATGATGAGCAAATCTTGTGATAACCTCAGCGTGGAAACCAACAACAGGACTAGACACAAAAGCAATCTTGGCAGGTAGGTTTGCCTTTTCTCTCTGAACATGTGTAAGAAGACTCAGACATAAACTATTTTTTTTAAAGTTCTTATTGTGGTTGTACCAAAAGGTCTGGGGCTCCATGGTGCCAGCAGTAGTGCAAACGCAGGCAGGAAGTTAATAAACTAAGAGAGAAGAACTTGAAAAAGAGTGACATTTAAATTTGTACCAGACTCAAGAAGAACCACTAATTGGGTTATGAGGAAGCATAAAAATGAGGGAGAATAAATGTAAAATCTTCAATGTCTGTGTATCTTCACTGGAAATTACAGTATGTGAACTAAAATACCATCAGGAGCTGGTTTTGATCAGGAATGCAGAGATCATTACTTAGTTGATTCCTCCATGTCCAAATGTGCAATTCATAGGGAACAGTGCAAGAACTTCTCCCTCTGTTTTGGTGCATTCTCCTCTGTGGTGGTTACTATAGCTGCACAGCCTCAAGATGAATTCTAGTGCCTTTTAGAATACAATGAGTTAGAATAGAGTCAAGGAGAACATGGACTACCAGAAAAACTTTCAGACATGGTTTTGTCTAAATGGAAAGCAGGGCTAAATGAATGATGGGGAAGCTGTGCTGTGTTTTTCTGATACCCGCAGTCAGCTCAGAGCAAGACACAGGAGGAATAAGTCATGATGAGTGGTCTAATGGCAGCTGTTATTTGGAAGCAAATTCTGGCAAGGATAAACTTTGCCTAAAATGAAATATGTCCCAGAAATCAGAATACTCATTGAAAGGCTATAAACCTGTGCATTCCCAACTCGGCTCTGACAGACTAATGACAATGAAGGGTGCTAAATACCACTGCTGATTTTTTATTGTAACACAGCCTTCCTTTCCTGCCATGCAGATCTGTATCAGGGCTATCCCAGTCAGAAATGCACATCAATTTGAATGGAAAGCAAAGGACTTATGACTTCCTCTCTATCCATTCAGCTCAGAACACCATCAGCGGTGAGTATAATAATCACAAAGAGAGACAGTACCCTTCCATGTTTATTGTTCCAATAGAAGGAGACGAGCATATATTTTACTTATAGACTAAACACTATCCTTTTTTTACTTCTAGTCCTGGAAATTAATCCAGAGTTTAGCAAGACAAGCTGTTTTCTCCCCTTTAACTCCTGCTTTGCATCAGGTTCAGTGGTAAGGGACTTGGTGATAAAATGATTCTATAATGGTACCTAATGCTCTACAGAGATGTAGTTCAGTACACCCAGAGACTCTTGCATGGGACAACATCCCTGTGGCTCAGAGGTCATTGTTTGGTTCAAAAGTGAGATGTACAACTCAATAAATAATGCATGAGACAGCATAGGCTCCAGGTCTTTCCTCTGCTCTTGCACTTGCATGACACTTCCTGGAATAAGGACTGGATATCTAATTTTCTATCAGAAGCCAGACTGCATGCACATGGGGAGCCAGTCTATGGAATATAAAGCTATGCTTATCTGGTTAGTCCATTTAAAAATTAGAACAGTACTTTAAGCACACTGTGGCCATTGCTCAATGTTAAGAAGTCACCATTGCAATCAGTGTTGGTTGGATTGTACCTTCAGAGCCAAAAGGGCCCACAGGGCCTAAGGCTAGAGCCCTCAGAAGATTTTGTGTCCAAATCACCCTCAGGTTCAATGGGCACTACATGTCTGACTCTTTAAATATTCTAATCTTAATAAAAATGTTGCAGAAATATATTCTCCCAGAAAGAAACATTATAGCACAAGCTTGCACAGCTCTGTACAGAGTTTTTTTTTGAAAGAATGAAAACTTTTGAACACTTGTTTGAGCTTCCTTCCAGAATTGTATTGAGTCAAAGTAACAGTAATGATGAAATCAAGGATAAAATATATATTAATTTCTGAAGCTCCAATTTTGCATAATACATGAATATACTGTCTCCCAGCATTAATCTACATTTATTCTAGCTGTTTTGTTTCTGCAGCACCTGGATCACCAGCCATCCAAAAGGAAGTTTTGCTGAGTGGTCTAGAAAGAGAAATCATATGTGTCAGCCTAAAACGTGACCCTAAGAATGGATTTGGTAAGTAAAGAACATAAATGTTATGTTTGCTACTGGGACTATCAGATCCTGGTGCTAACACTGACGCTTGCTGACTCAGACTGGGCAAGACTGTAAACTCCTTTAGTCCATTTATTCTTCTTATAGAGTAAGAGCGCCAATCTTTGTGAAGGACTCAGAATTTCTAGGACTGAAAAGGACTAAGCACATAAATCAAGACCATTATATTTTCAGAGGATTAAATAAGGCCACAGAGACCAAAGGAACCTAGTGCTAAGAGTGGAATGAGAAAAACATGGTTTTAGTTTTGCATCTGAAATACACATGTACTGATTTCATTTATCTTAGACCTTAGAGGTGGTGCCTGTGGGGTGCAAAATATTTACACCAACTTCAAATGAATGTTTCCCAACTTCTGGATTACTACCTTGATAATATTTTTGTTATTTAATACCTTAATCACACTGTATCGAGTTCTTGTGGATGAGTTTAGACTATCAGGTTTCACAAATGACCATTAATACAGATAAAAATCAAATTTATAAATGGTGCAGGTCTGTGTGTAATATCCTCATCCCAAACCCAACTATTATAGAAGTGAGAAGAATATATTTCAATAGTCAGAGTTAGGATAGTGAAACTCAAACTTCTGAACAATAGACTTCATTTTCTTAGATCTCTTTCATTAGAAGTTTACATGGCCCACCTCAGGTTTCCTGGTTGCATGATGTAGAATGATGTTCAAATTTATCTCATGACTTTTTATACCATTTCCCTCTGCAGGTGTTAAATGCTGCAGGTCCACCTAGTTCATGACTCATGAAAAAAAGTAGTTAGAGTCTCTAAAAGTACTAAGCCAGGAAAACATTGTTATTGGGAAATTATATCTAAGTAGTGACCAAAGTCACCAGCACACTTTAATTATAATGTAAGTTTAAAGCCCCCCCAAGTCAAGACCTTGATGCCCTGTAAATCAAAGCTCCCCATCCTTCAGATTGTGTACAAAAGGTATGCCACTGGAGTAAGAGCCTTTTGTCCTTCTAAGATTTATATTTTTTAATACTGCTAGTGTTTGTATTCTCATGCTATCTCGTGTTTGCAGGTTTTGTAATTATTGGAGGAGAAAATGTAGGAAAATTAGACCTTGGTATCTTCATCGCTTCAATTATCCCTGGGGGACCTGCAGACAGAGCTGGAAATATCAAACCAGGTCATTTTCTGTACTTTTTAATTAGAATTAAAATACTTGCATAGTTTAAAGTTAGCTACTCTGGATTTATTTCCTTATTTAGATGTGCTTTCTCTTGCTTTTATCTTTTTTTTCTTAAGGAGGACGACTCATCTCTGTGAATAATATTAGTCTTGAGGGTGTTTCATTTAATACTGCAGTTAAAATCATACAGAACTCTCCCGATGAAGTGGAGCTCATCATCTCTCAACCCAAAGGTATCAAGGCAAAGGCCTCTGCTGGCTCTGGGATGCTAATGGTTAACTCGGGACACTCATCTTTAACAGGCACTGGGATGTAGTACTACATTCCTGCTCCTGACTGCCAGTTAGAACAACCATACACTAAAATAGTTGACTTCTGGTAGGTATCATGTGATGTCTCTGTTACATCAGTGTGAAAAAATCTATTATGGGCTGCACTGCTGAATACTAAAGGAATTTCAGCATTTCTTTCTCTGACAGAGAGGCATAGTTCTCTGCAGTGAGGAAGCAAACACATTTTTGAACACTTAAAATAGCAGTGCTCTATTTTACATTGACTAACTCATTTTATAGATCAGATTTCACAATCAGTTGAAATAAGAAGGTACTTTGTCCTCTTGTGCTGGGTTATAATAATATTTTTATTTAAGTTTACTTGCTATTTGTATTCAACAATGTCTTATTTTGGTATGGCTTTACAGACACGTATGAAGAAGGATTAAATGAAGAAAAGAATCTATCAAGAGGAAACAGCACTAGTGGATCTGAGATCTCTTGTGTAGACAGTGGGAGAAAAAAGATTCAGGATTGTCATACAGCTCTCCCCAGAGAACAGGACACAAATATAGATGAACTTGAGAAGACTCTCTCTTGGAATTTAGCATCAAAATTGGGCCCCAGGATTCCAGTTCCTTCAGCTGATAGCCTGGATATAGAGGTAACTGAGATTTTGATGCTGCTCAGTAATGTTATACCCAGCACACCACATATAACAACATACCAGATACATGTAGAAGGGAAAGTAACTGTGAAGGAAAGGAGATAGAAAACCTTTAAATAAATTACATTGGAAATGTCAAAATTATAGACATGTCTAGAATATGTGAATAAATAGGGAAACTGTTCTACAAAATGTTTTTTAAAATCTCCTTCTTTTTCCAGTGGAGGGACCAATTTTTGATTATTTTCTTACAATCTTTTAAGTATTCAAACCAGTCCCAGAACATGCTGTGTCTAATTTCTTACTTTTAGACATCCTCCCTACATATACTCAGGTTATGTGCATTTGGACAGATTGCATTTTGAGTAGCATTAGCTTAAACTTCCAATAATATCAGAGATATAAATGGTATCGCTCCAGGTTTACAGTGACAGCAGGATCAAACGTTTTACATCTTCTGGAAATGCTGTCTTCCCTTTTTAAAAAAAAATTCCTTTCCCCGCCTTTCTTTTTAAATGAAGATGCTGTAATCTCATTAAAGTTTTTATTTTTTGAGACAGGCAGCTGATTCTTCCCACTTACCATCTCCATCAGAAACCAACTCCAAGGAAGTCTACACGGTGGAGCTTGTTAAAGAAGATGGGACTTTTGGAATCAGCATAACTGCAAGTGTCACTATTAATGTTTGTCTGTCGAATTGTTACCCGACTGAGAACAAAGACAGAAGATAGGCTGATAACAGAAACTGTTAGCATGGCACACTGTAAACCTAAGTGTCCAACTGACTGACATAGAATGCATGGAGTACTGTCTCTGCTCATTGCCTGGTTCTTACCCACAACATCTGTGAAAGTGTCCTGGCATAAAGCACATGGCAGCACAAAACCTGATTTGAGAACAAGACCTACCAGTGAAAGCACAGTTTGGTCAGGGAGGACTAGAGAAGGTCAGGGAGGAGTGGAGAAGAAATGTCTGCCACATTTGGATAACAAGTCCTTGTCCTAGCTATTTAAGTTGAATTACCCTTCCAGGCTGAGATGTCTTTAGTCTTTACTGAAATGGAATGTGAAGCAACAACCATTTCATTGCCTGCAGAAGAAATGAAGGGCCATTTTTTTCATCTGAATTTGGCCAGGGGATGTAGATGGACAGAACATGATTCTTAGGTTAATCTGGATTTTCTCTGGGTGTTCAAGTTCAGGTCCATGCTTGATATATTGTCCGAAAGATTAATAATTGAAGAATGGATATTGCACAGCTTAGAAGCTGGGCTAGAGAATAGCTGAAAGATGCAAGACCATTTCATGTGAGCATAGGGAAAAATTTATGAACATTTAGTAAATATTTTTATATAGTCACATAGAAGTACATTGCATTTTCCTGAGAAAACAAGATAATATTACTGCCTATGGAAGTATATTACAACTTGATGGGGTTCTGGAGTAATATCATCTTTCCCTTTTCCCCAGTATTTAAAGAAAAAAGTAATTCCTGAAGCAGTTACTTTGTAATGCATGTGCAAGTTGCTTTGATTTTTACCACAGGAAGAATATACGAAAACTCTAATCTGTGGGCATGTTTTGCAGGGTGGAATTAATACCAGTGTGCGTCATGGTGGGATATATGTGAAGTCAATTATTCCCAGGGGACCAGCAGATAAGGATGGACAAATAAAGATAGGTAACATGTCTGGCAATAACACCCTGGGCTGGGGTGGGTTCACTGTTAGTGTGGACAATGAAACACATTTGGGATTGGAGGTGCTACAACTGCAAAGTATAATAAATGGTCCATCATTCCTCAGCCTGTCCCTGTACTACATGTAGGGATCCCACTGAAAACAACAGAAGCCTCACACCAACATTGTAGAGTTACCTTCTGTAGCTGCCATCAAGCTAGTGACTCTGACATCATTGTTCCTGTGCTAACCAGATGCTACCACTGCATAGAATACTCTGGAAGGTTTTAGCTGCTGGTTATAGAACGCTGTGCAGAAAGCAGTATTGCTTTCCTATGAATTAATATTAATTTGACACATGCATGCATGAAGACCTATTGCAACATGGGCAGCCTCAAGGTTTACACCCTCTGAACCTGAACATCAAAGCAACTGGACGTTCTCTTTTTTTACCCCAGGTGATCGTCTGCTGGAAGTAGATGGCATCAGCCTCTGTGGCATCACCCACAAACAGGCTGTGGAGCACCTTAAGAAATCTGGCCAGGTTTGTACAACTGCAGAGATCAATAAAATACACAGTAGACTAAACGGAACTTAGTATGAAGCACAGTAGCCAAGCTTGGCCAAAAGAACCATCCCCCCCTCTGCTCTAACCCATTCTTCTAAAGAGAAAAGTACAAAGACTTAGGACTCACTGTGTCCTGTGTAACTGGAACCTGTTTATCACTGTTTTAGATTGCCAGACTGGTTCTAGAAAGGGGAAACTACCAATTGGCAGAGCCTTGTCTGACTGCTAATGACAGAAAGGAGGACCAATGTGCAGCTGTTTCTGTGGCAACATCCCTCACAGATGGCACCAAGGACTGCTGCTTTTTGACAGATGGTAAGTGATAAAGAAGGAACTCAGGGTGACTTCCTACAATGTGCAGGAAAGGAATGAATGAAAATAATTCTATGAAATTTCTTTGGGTTGGAAGGAAAACTGTATACTGAATAAAATTATAATAGTCAATATTGATGACATAATCAAAAATAAATTCTAAAAAAAAATATTTCTGATGTTCATAGAGTTATAGTGGCTAGATATAGCTGAATTTACCCTAGGCATCAATACTGTATCTCTCAGCCTTTGTGAGACTGGGCTGGCAAGGGAACACCCCTGCCTGTACTGCACAGCAGTCTCGGGCAGGAAGCAGCTGTGTGGATGTGGCCAGGCTGTTACCCAGGCAGAGCCTCACCAGCACAGCTGCTGATGCTGTGACAGTGATGAAGCTGCAGTGAACTGGAGACTGCCACCGCTTAATTTCTTAAAAGCAGAAGATTTAGAGATCACTTACACAGAATTTAGCCAACAAATAAATGCTGTATCTTTTACTGAAGGTTGTCTCATAAACACTAAGTCTGAACCATACTTTTCCACGGAGCAGTTACTCCTTTACATTAGAATTCAGCTACAAGTGTGGTGTTTGGGAAAGGCCTGATCTCTCATTCTTGACTGGAAAGAGCAGTAGCTCCAATTCCAGCTTATGCTGGTTAATGAAAAACCTAAATTAACACCAGGCAATTACAGAATAGTAAAATCTATGCAACACTTACAGAAGAATATCAGAAAATACAGCATGTGAATCTCTTTATGTTGGTACAAAAAGCTTTTCCCTTTATGGGCTGGTACCAGCCTGTGAACACATGGTGGAAGAGATTCCAGCTCTCCCTATTCTGACTGTGAGATTTCAAAGACTTACATAAGATAAAGGAACACCTAAACCTTCTTTTGACTTTATTATTGGTAGATCTACCTCTGCAGCACACCAGGAAAAAGTCTTTTGAGAGTATAGTTTGTACTGGCTCCTCAGGGGGTACATATGCCATGGTTCCCACTTATTTTCCAATCTCTGATTTGAGCAGATAACACATTTGAAGTGAAATTAACCAAGAATTCTGGAGGCCTTGGATTTAGTGTTCTGCAGATGGAAGGAGATACCTGCGAACACCTTGGAGGAGATATTGTCAGGATCAAAAGACTGTTTCCAGGGCAGCCAGCTGAAGAGAATGGAGAAATTGAAGTTGGAGATGTCATTTTAGCTGTGAATGGGAAACCTCTCAAAGGGCTCCTGTATCAGGTAGCAGGAAGTGTTATTACTGGGGCTCCATCTGGGTAACAGGTTAATAAAGACAATGCATTTAAACTTAATTATCACCAGAGCGAGGCAGAATTTGCATATAATTATTCTGATTTCTATGTAGGATTCCTCTCTAGAACTCCTATGTAGAATTTCTTTTCTAAATAAATTCTGACAGCTAATTTCTTTTGCTATTTAATTTCTAAGTTTCAACCATTAATGTATGAATTCTATTGTTAGATGCACAACAGTTGTTAATTAGTTGGAATCTTTGTTGATTTTATGCATGATTGGAACAATTTTCCCCCGTGGTCATTTGTGCTTTGTAATGTCATGCTAAATATAATGCCCCAGATTCAAATTTCTACCAAGAGTGGTAAGCCCTGTGTAAGTTTTTAACCTGGAATGAGAAATTCTATACTCAATTAAGAAATTAAATGGTAATGGCCTACGTGTGGATTTATATTTTTTTCATTGGAATATGGCAGTTTGGGGAGCTATGCTGAAATAATTGACCAAAGATGTTACTGCCACATGTGGTTTGAATGAATTTGCCTGAAAATTCTGTTTTCTTCAAGAAAAGAAAATTAATTCACCTAAACTCTATGTGCCTGATGGTGAAGCAGAAGTTTGTCAATTGAACTGACCTTAGTTTAGATACATGTTCACATATAAACTATGGTCCATTTGTATGAAAATCTTTCAGTGGTGAATATTGGCCCTCAGACACTGCTGAGAGGCATAAATACCAGAAATGTAGCATTCACAATAAAAATTTTCTCCATCTCAGTTGGTAAAATGGCATGTGACATTTACTCTGTTCCATCAGCAACATAACATTTCTTCTGTCTGTTTAGGATGTCCTGCATTTGTTAAGAGGAGCTCCTCGAGAAGTTACACTGCTACTTTGCAGACCACCAAAAGGTGTTCTTCCAGAAATAGAGCAGATTGCTCTGGTAAGGCAAAGCTTCTGACAGAAACTTGCTTCTGTAAACCTGCAAAGACACTACTACATTTTCTATCCAGTCTTGAACAAGGCAACTTTCCCTCTTCTTCAAGGTCCTCTATTCCTTTTCTTTCCCTTCCTGGTTTCAACTCAACCTGCAAAGTTCAGCTTAGAGTTTCTTAGCAACAAAAATAATACAAATCTGGCAGACATGAAACATATTTATCCCAGTCCAACAACTTTTGAGTTGCTGTACTATCACTGGAGGGAAACAGCACATACCCAAGCAGGTCTCCCACTGCTGCTTCTAAAAATGCTCTACCAGATCCTCAGCCAAAAACAGTGATATTCTCAAATGCAGCTTTTTTAACTCCCCAAAGTGAGAAGAAAATAAAGAACTTTTTCTATCCAGACTATCTCTTAATTAAGTTAAATAAATGGAATAATAATCTCAACTGGTTATTCAGGTTCTTATTGATAGTTAGCAGAATCTTCAGGGGGAAAAACAAAACACAGACAAGCAAAAAATACCCTCAAACCATAGACACTGCAGAGACTAAAACATGGCCATTAGATATGCTAGCATTATTACTCCTGCTTCTTGAAGACACCTCATGTACACATAGCAAGTACTCTTATAAGGAATATGCATTAGCACTACTCTTGCTCCATTCAGAATGGCCCCCTGATGGTTCCCATCCCGCTAGGATTTATAGCCACCCACAGGCAGACAGAAATGAGAGTCAGAACCATCTCCAGATAACAGACTGACTCCTGCTGCTCTGCTGCAGTGTGCCCGTGGCTGATTTCTACAGTCAGTCGCACGGGAGTCAAGTCTGGAAGCTACTTCCATGGAATGAAGAGAATATAGACACAACATTGAGGCATGATATGAACAGATATATTAAAAAAGAACCTCTAGCAAATAATTCATTGGGAAAAGAGACCTGGTATAGTAGTTTTGATTGGAACTCTTGTAGAATGTGAAAAACAAGCATTAAGACAAAAGAGTTATTTGGTGAGAGAGTACCTTCTATTTTTCTCCTTCCTTCCTTCCACCTACCATTTGGTATTTTCCCATTTAGAAGCTTGTTAATATTGCCTTTTCAAAATATTTTGTTCTTGAAGGAAAAAATACGGGAGATTAAAAAGGAGTTACACTAACATTTCTGATTTTTTAATAGACTCCAGCACCATCTCCAATTAAGGACTTTGTGGCAGAAATGCCAGGCAGCACAGGGGCAGGAAACAGTATGGATCAATCTACCAGTGATGGAGGTAGCACCTCTCCAGACCTCGAAGATTGCCTTGATTCTCCAGTGGGAGAAGATTTCAGTGAGCCTCCTGAGGATGACAGCTCAGCTTACGAAGAGCAGGAAGCTGAGTTTCAAGAGAAACCCATGCAGAAACTCCCATCTTCCAGAGAAAGTTTCTATAAGCATCTTTGGAAGATTCATCAAGAAGCTTCCAGTTCTGAAGTCTTCCACTCTCTAGAGGAGGAAGTGAAGCAGAACTGCTACTCACCATGTGAGTTTGGACAGGCCAAAAGGTAGGGAATACCAAAATCTGTTCTGCAGCCCAGAGTTCTTTGACTCTTAGAACTTTGAAAGTTAATTGCTTAGGTTTAAGTACAGGGCTCTCTGCTTCTAATCATTCCTGATTACTGAAGATTTTGTTTTATCATCTTATTCTGACTCACCTAATCTGCTTTCCCTATTTACTCTCATCTTATTAGAATTTTGCATAAGTCTGCATTGCGAGATACTTGTAAGAGTTCTGCACCACTGTAATCATTTATGCTGTTCAGCTGAAGGTGGTTGCCATTTGAAATCAGTGGAAAGACACCTGTTCACCTAAACAGGAAACAAATATGTTTTTATTGATTATATGATCTTTTGCTTTCATCTGTTTTCAGAGTTGACTTAAATAGGCACCAAATTTTTTTCATATTGTGTGATCTCTTAATTTCAAATTTTTTCATAGGAAATAAAAACACCTCAGAAGAAAAACTGTGATCAAGGAGGAAAAAAAAAAGGGTTATTTTATATTTTCTGGTCTGCAGAAGCCAATAGAACCCCTGAGCCAGAGGAATGATACAATAAAATGTAGTGCAAATGGACTCAGTCTCCTTTTACACTCCTTTGGATATATCAGCCACTGTCACACAGAAGACAATCCATTCCATTTTCATCATCTTTCCCAGTGCAAAAAAGTATAATTTATCAGAACAGAAAGGATTGATACAAAGACAAATTGAAAGTCTTCTAGAGGCCTTTACTTACAGCTTTAGTAATTACTTTAGTAATTGTATTTAGAAATTGTATTTCCCCATACAGTCACTTGAAATTATTTTGTTACTTTTGACACTCATCAAGCACAGCCTCAGACCGTCGTCTCTGGGGAGTGACAGCACTACCTGACACTGCAAGCCAAGTGGGATCATAGTGGCAGTTCATAATTTTAGCATCTCTTCCTCAAGTGCAGAAGCTTCACTCAATTCATGAATGAAGCTCATGCTTAATTATCTGCTTCTGTACTTCTGAGAGTAAAACCAGCAGAAATATGTCTGCAGCAACCATACTTGCCAAGAGATAACACAGATTCAACAAAACTAGTTTATTGTGGGAAAATACCAATTCCAAGAAAAGTTTTGGATTCTTTCCAAGAAGGAAGCTCTGAAATAAATGTTTTTGTTTGATTCATTTTCAGTATCATTTAGAATTAGCTTTTGCATTTAAAAAGGGCAGCCAGAGAAGTTTAGGATGCCATGCATTTTAAGCAGTATTTTAAACATAATCTCAATTTAAATCCTTCCAGCTAAAACCACACAAAATTCCCACAAGGAAATAGGCATTAATAAAGGACTTCCTTTTGATTAATGAAGATATTTCTCCAGATTGCTCAAAATATTTCATGCAAATGTACAAATTTTCTGATATGAATTTTTCAGAGATGTTCTGTGATTTCATACAGGACATGCAATTTATTTTCATTTTAGTTGTCTATGTTTGGGAGATGATGGACAGTTCACTGCTATCAAAGAGCAAAACATCCTGGCTGACGTAGATATGAATATGCCCTTTTAGGTTGTTTTAAGATTAATGAAGTTTAGCAATATTTCAATAAGGATTGATATGAAGAAAACATACTTTAAAAAATGCGTTTCCAGCATTTTTATGAATGTTAATGGTAAATTTTTGGGAGACAATGCCACAGTTTTCTTCTATGGTTCATGAAGGACAACAGCCAAAACTATTAAACACAGCATGTGTGATTACAGTTTGGGCTTGAACATCAAAAGTGCTGAATACTTTGTCTGCAATATAGTGGAATAGAATCAATAATAATTTTAATTCAATTAATTTAATAAGTTCATTGGTGGTTTTCAGACAACTCATATGCTTCAAGGCAAGCATAAGAATAAAGGCAAGCTTACAAAGAGGAGTAAGGACTTATTTTCATGAAGAAACAGGAACCACTAAATATTTTATGTTTCTGGTCTATGCCCAGTTACCAAGGAAAGACCCATAGAAGCCAAAAATGTGGCTGGCATTCCTTTTTCCAGAAAAATGCTAATATAAAAATTGTAGTGGTATTTTAATGTCTATACTGCTTACTAGAAAAGTTAATTAATTTGTTTATGGAAGATGAAATAATTAATGGTCTGGACTTTGTCCAATTATTCTTTTCAAGAAGCAACCAAAGTTCTAATTAATGCCTTAAAAAAATTGAAAGAGTCCAAGATTTTGCAAAGGTAAATAATGAAAGCTTTTTAATCTTTCAAATAGCTTTGCAAAATATTGATTACTTATTTGTTTTTATACTACCATTGGAGGATTCAGACAGTAATTCAATACCATAACTAGTAATTCAGTTAAAAGTAAAATAAGGCAATGCATAAACAGTAGACTTTTCAGTGGCCATCTAATAAAGCATATGGAGGAAAACCCCACCACTGCAATCTTTTTATTTTCCAGCCACGTATTTAATAAGAGTCATGATGACCTATTGAACACAAAATGTATGCCTGAAACTCTCTCTCTAACCCCTATTGATGAAGAGTATCTCACTGTCAGCTCAATGTCTGTGACCTCACTTCCACGAGGAGGAGGAAGCTCCATGACAGTCTCTGCAAGCACTGCAACCCCACAGCCATGTGTTTGTGGCCCCTCATCATCATCCCTGCCTGCCAGAGAGACACATGACAGTGACAATGAATGGGAAGACTTGGAGGAACCAGAGGAAGAGAAGGAAGAAAATGAAGACTGCATTCAGGTATCAGCACCAAATTACCAACAGGTAGAATACAAGGAAAAAGAAACAATTTTAAGAATGTTACAGTCTTAAACATTAATTTTAACTCATCTTCTATGTTATTTACATGAGACTTTTTTTTCTTTTTTGACTTTCCTGAATATCCACAATCTTCAAATAAAGCAGACCTTCCACTATGCCCAGCTCTCCAGAATTTTTAACCATTTGCCTTAAGGCTATTTCTTTTTTCTTGACATCTTACTATTTCTCCTACTTTCGAAAATTCTGCATTATTATTCACATGGTATGAAGGCCTAAAAGCTCTCCAGTAGCTTCTAAAATTAATTGGAGTCAGCTACTTGGGTTTCTTCTGCCATGTTTCAAGGCCATGCAGAAAATCACTTTGTTACAGTGATATTGCTGTAATGTCCTGATAAGAAAGTATGATTCTTGTGCTAATTACTATTCAAAAGATAAGACTCAGTCCTGCCAAATGCTGAACATCTTGCATTCCTACAACACTAATGAGCTCTGAATTCCTACTAATTTGAGAACACTGTGGACAAAATTTAGCTCCAGGCATTTCCTTCAGCGGGACAGCAACAGCAGTAACAGTGATCTTTGCATGCTGCTATCACAATTCTTGTCAGCTCAGAGGCCTCCAGCCTTTCTTTACACATTCCAAATGCCCAGTCCCAGGTCCTGGTGGCATTCTCTGCTTTACTAGGCCCTAGAAGTCAATCAACATGAACCTCCACAATTCTGGGATACGGCAGAACACCTTTTACACACTCTTGTATCATCTGAGGATTCCTACCTGCATGTAAAAATTGTGGGAGATGTTACTGAAGCAACAGAAAAGCCTACATCAAACACACCCTGTGCTTGTTTTAACAGGAAATGGAGATCTTTGTGACTTTGACGAAGTCAGAGAACAATGGTTATGGATTCTCTGTAGTTCTTAACAAAATGGACACCTGCCTGTATGTTGATGAAATCTTGAATGATCCTGCCCTTTCTGATGGAAGATTGAGAAGGGGAGACAGAATCATTATGGTACAGTAATTTTTTGACTTTATGCAGAGAAGAAAATATTTGCAGATCAATGCTATTCGGCTTTGTCATGCTTTGTTTAGTATCACCCATTTATCCCATATTTAGGTATGTAAATAAATAATATAATAAATCTAATTCTGCTGACCTCAGTTGGATAAATCTCAGGCTGAATAGATTGTATGATGAGGCAAATAAAATTAATCTAGGAGCATTCAAGACAAGTGAGACATTAAATGCCTTTCCAATGAAATTACTTAAACTGAATTAATGCAATAAGGTGATAGGTGACACACAAAGGATACAGGAATTATGTCCTTTGTAATGTAATAACAAAACTGTTTTTCAGCCTGACTCATGTTCCATTTTTTGCATAAGACCCTCTTCCTTGATTTTGAACAAGATCTTTTGAATGTTGATCTTTGCAACATTCCCATTGAAACTCATCAATGGAAAAAAAAAAAGCTATTTTTATTAAAACTCTGCATTCAGAAAAATAAAAGTTAAAAAAAGAAATATTACTGTAATCTTAATTGTTAAATTTATTGGCATCAAATACCATAGCAAAGCAATAAAAAGGAAGTAAAAACTAATTTAAGTCCATATGCAAACTTCAGAGTAGAGGGAGAAGTAAATGATGGTCAGTGAGATCTATGACATGATTTTACTGGTTTGTCATTTAGGTGAATGGAATTGATGTCACATCTTTACCATGCAATGAAGTCCTGACTTTACTGCAAAGCTCTCCTCCAGATCTGCACCTCGTGGTTGGTCGTGCTGACAGTGACCCACATCCCTCAGTTAGGCCAGATGAGATTCCTGAAATTACTCTCACAAAGGGTGCTGATGGACAGCTAGGTGTGTAGTAAATGCTGTATTTGCTATTTTGGACAGGAATGACAGCATAAGATAATCATAAGCAATTGTTCTCTCAGATCAGTGAGATCCAAACTGATCTTGACACATTTATGCTCTCCACGATCACCCATGACCAAGGAATGAGAGCTTTTTTTTTTGGGCAACACCTAAGAGGGAAGACTAATATCTCTTATTAGACTAATGAAGGTAGCTGGAAAAATGATCTTTGCATTGTCACCCCATTAACTGAAGTTTCTGGCAGATTTCCAGTATCACATTTTTATGTTACTTATGTACATAAGTTTTGGGTAGTTGGATAATAACGTCTACTACCTGCAGAGACATATAAAGATCTATTTGGAGGGAAAGAAAAAAATTGAAGAAAAGGTAAAGTTTAAGAAGGATGAGCCACAGATTGAGACTACAGTTTGCTATTCAAAAAATCTCCACTTGAATCCTTGATTCACCACAGACACAAGGCTTTATCTACAAACAATACAAACGATAAAAGAAATCCCCACAATGTGAGTATCTTGATATTTCCGTAGCATGCTATGAGTACTGCACACAGATAAAACTGTAGACTCAGGAAACAGTATGGCTATATTTGCTCAGGTACAGCATCCTGTTTCCAGGTAGGATCTAGTTTGTTCAGAGATTCCTTGAGTGTCATTGGCACTGTGTAGGTCCCTCCTCAGCTGTTGTAGGCTTCCTTTCCCAGTGGCACCCTGAATACTGCAAGGCATTTAAATGTGCAGGTAATGAGGGAGCTGCTGCTATGCAACTGTGTCCTATTGCAATGACTATTGAACATCAGGAGAAATAAAGCACTAGGACAGCACTGAAACACAGAGATGGACACCACCATTTAAGTTTTTCCATACTTTTTTAACATCTAATGACATTTTACTCTTTCAGTTCAGCTTATACATCCCATCTTACTGGGGCAAGACTGTTGTTTATAATGTCAGTGATTTCTTCAGCCTATCTTTCAGTGATTCACATTTATTCCACTTTAAGTCACTGACAGCGAAATTCAAAACACTCTGCCACAAAAGATGCTTTCTCTGCATTATTCTAGGCTTGAAGCTGACAGGAGGAGCTGGAAGCAAGTTACAAGGTATTTATGTGCTAGAGATAGTGCCTGGCTCTCCTGCCAGTGTGGAAGGCAGTTTGCAGCCACGAGATCAGATTGTTTACATCTGTGGACTGTGCACTGAGGGCATTAGCCTGGATGATGCAGTGAGAGTGTGTGAAGCTGCCACCCAGAATGTTCGAATCAAAGCCACAAGGTAAATCTGAGCATACCTGATCCCAGTGCTGAAGCAAGTCTAAATTTCACATCAAGACAACACAAAACCGAAAAATGCTTTATCTCAAAGGTCTGAATGTTAAAACCTGATAAATAACATTCATAAGATATCTTAACTCCTTGTAATTACAACTAACACAGCAAGTACAAGTAGACTCATACAACACAAATGAGAACTCTTCAAATTTTACCATCCAAAACAAAATGTGAAGCCTTTAACTGTGAGGCTGAGCACCATTTTCGTAAGTCTTGTTCTCTAGGGAAAATCTTTGCATTTCCATCACTAGTGTCAACTTTCCCCTTATAATCTCAGATTCACAACCATGAGCAAGAAACTCTCTCTGATCAGAAATTCTGAGATAATTCCAACAGCCAAACATTTTAGAAAGGTACTAAAAATGCAGCATTTAACCTGCAGCATGACCAGAAAGTCTTTCCAGGCCTGAACAATAATTGGCTGGAAAGGATTTCACTCATCAGTTCATGGCTGCACTTTTGATTCACTGTGTTCCACAGTCTGATATCACACCAGCTCAGGTCCTGGACTGATGCAGAAATAGCTTCCAAAGATCTCAGAGGAATGGTAAAATATTAACTCAAAGCATGTGAGTAACTGAGTTATGTAACCACAGCATGTGACAGAATGACTGCCACAGCTGTCTTAACATAGTTCAAACTTTTCTCACTGTTTTATTAACTTGTGCTTATCTAACAGAAGAAGAAACTGCTGCCTCATTATACATCTTGCTGTACAACAAGTTAGTAGGCAGCACCTCCTGATTGTCAGAATTCACAAACAAAAGAGGTAAACAGAAATAGGGTAAAAGAACTTACAAAAGAGCATTCCCACTTTATACAGGGGTAACCAAAGCTGAATTCAAAATGGACCAGAAAGCAGCTCTGTATTGAACCAGGTGATTTAACACGCTTATTTTTTTCTCCAACGCATTTCAATAAAATGTTTCACTACAGTCAAATATTTTCATATACTGATATCAATTCTCTTTAAAAAAGCACCAGTAACAAAATCACAGAAGGACAACTTCTATTTAGACAACTGAATTTCTAAAAATAATTTTCATATGAGCTTTACAAAGCATCCAGCACTTAATGGCTCACATATTTCACTTTTTCTGCCCCCAGAAATGGCAATCCAGTGGTTCCTATAGAGCAGGAAAATAGTAAGTAAGGCTAATGTTTTTGGGTTTTAGTTCAAAACTTGCTTCTGATTTTGAAAATAGGCATAAGGTATTGATTCATTGCATTTAAAACTTATTAACAAATTGTAACTTGCCATTCAGTATTTCTGTTATGGCCATTTTAAGAGTCTGAAGAAAATTTGGTAGCTGTTTAAAGATAGAAATAAAATGTATAGTTCTCTGTAAAAACTTAATTTGTTACATATTCAGTTTCTATTTTTTTAAATTTGTTATTAAATAGGAATTTTATGTGGTCATATTTCAACATCTGTTTTGACTGAAACTATTCTCTAAGAAGTTTACCAGCACTTCTTGAGCCACTGTTTAATATGAGCCACTACTTCATCATCTAGACCACCTTTTTAAAGTGTTATTAAGAATGTATATAAAATCAGCAGGCAGCACTAATATCTGTTAGTTAATATAAAAGCATTCCTGTAAGGGGAGATATTTGATACTCTAACAGGTACAAAACCTCAACAATCATCTGACCCACAAAGATTTGACCAGAATTGCTCTAGCAGCCTAAGGAGTCTCAACAAGCAGAGTTGTACCTGCACCCTCAGGTGGAAGGAGAGGTATCACATCTAGGTCAGCACATACAAAGGGTGTTAGTTATGCAAGTAATACTTTCAAATGCACAGCTGGCTGCAGCATTAAGTCAGGCCTAACCCCAGTTTCATTTACCTGACTGGATATCTCAACGTTTGATTATTTTTTTTTTTTTAATTATGCAAACATGACTTTAAAAAGTAATCCTGGACCACATGCCTACACTCATCTGAATACTGGCATATGGTTACCTGAAGAACTTATTCCAAGTCAAGTTAGTGACAGATTTCCTTACACATGTAGCCATGTGATTGTTTCTATAAACTGAAGCAATTTTCTACAAGATATGGATAAAGTTTTGTGCACTCTGAGTTAATGTGATAGAACTAAAGCACAGCAAATGTGTAGCCTGGTAGGACTTTGCTTACACAGCCTTGTGTGAGCTTTGCAGCTTCCAAGATTTCTCAAGACAGGTAAAGAGACCTGGTCCACCTCTGATAGTTATGAACGCTGTACTGGCACAGTTACCTGCCTCTCCTATGAAACAAGATGTGGAAGGTCCTGCACATGGATCAGAGCAATCCCAAGCATAAACACAGGCTGAGCAGAGAAGGGATTGAGAGCAGCCCTGAGAAGGACTTGAGAGTGTCAGTTGATGAAAAGCTAAACATGACTGAGCAATGTACAGTCACAGCCCAGAAATCATATCCTTGGCTGCACCAAAAGCAGTGTGGCCATCAGGCTGAGTGAGGGGATTGTGCCCCACTACTCTGTGACACCCCACCTGGAGTGCTGCATGCAGCTCTGCAGTCCCCAGCATAAGAAACACGTGGAGCAATTTGAAGGGGAGGCCATGAAGATGGTCAAAGGGCTGGAGCACTTCTCCTGTGAAGACAGGCTGGGAGAGTTGGAGTTGTTCAGCCTGCACAAGAGAAGACTCTGGGGAGACCTTAGAGCTCCTTCCAGTTCCTAAAGGGGTACTGCAGAGAGTTTTTGACAAAGGCATGTAGTGATAAGACAAGGGGGAATGGCATCAAACTGAAAGAGGGCAGGTTTAGATTAGATAGTAGGGAGAAATTCTTTACTGGGATGGTGGTGTGACACTGGATGAGGTTGTCCACAGAAGTTGTGGACACCTGATCCTTGAAAATCTTTGTGTCCAGGCTGGATGAGGCTTTGAGCAACCTGGTCTAGTGAAAGGTGTCCCGGCTCATGACAGAGGGTGGGAACTAGATGATCTTTAAGGTCCTTTTAAACCCAAACTGCTCCATGATTCTATGATTCTTCCATTTTATAGGCACTTTGAAAAACCTATACTAATTTTGTATTTGATATTCCATTTGCTATCATCACTCATAGATTTATAGATAAATCTGTAATAATTTGTTATTAAGAAAGCAAGCCTTCATTTTTATAGGCTTAGTTAGAAGAACACATATTAAAATTGCAATTGCAAGAGGTAGCTTTTTTTAAACTACAGGACACTATTTTCAATAATTCAAATATTAAGAGTACTTTGTGGAAGACAGCTAAGATCAAAATATGATAAAGCAAAACTGAGGGGGCTGGTAGAGGTGGGAGTGTTCCTTCATCTGCCTGATCATCACCACATGTCTGGAGTGACTCAGTCTGGTCTCTGTTGTTACAATTTTTAAAATAACAATGGCTAAGATGCAGTAGCTTTGTAATTCATGACTGAGATGTTTATATTGCAAATTGGCAAACTTAATGATGCAGTCTGCACACTGCTTCATATAGCATCAATATTGGATATTGATGCTTTGTTTAATAGCACAGAGTTTACATTACATGTGTACATGAAGCTTAGCAGGAGGCCTGTCAGAGCAAACGTATGTGTTTGTTTTTAGGGCCACCAGCTGAAACAGAGAAAGACAATATTTCTTTGTCAAATGAAACCCTGAACTCCCAGGAACAGCATCTGATGCATCATCATGGTAAGGAACTTTGCATTTTTCAATTAGGGTTAGTAAAATTGTGTTCTTTGAAAGAAGATAATGATAATGGCATGACCTGGGAAAGATTAGGTCTTCATAAAAAATCCTGCCTCCCTCAGAGTTTCAGAGAACATTTATACATTACTGCTCTCCATCTGGTGTCTCTGTAGCACGCAGTTCTTAAAGCTTGTTTTGGAACCTGCTCACAGGGAGGTAAAAAGGTCACAGTGTGGTTCACATTTCAGGAGTTTTAGGCCACATAAATCCATGGGATTTATTTTGTATTTCACATATAAAATATAACACATTTTATTATGTCTCTGAATGAGATTCTGAGTGTTGTACTGTAGAGTATTTTACCAGGACAACTATCAAAAATTGTTGTTGCTTTTTCACAGAGAAAGATTTGGAGGAAACAAACTGTGATGCTCAGCAGAACACTCCTGATTCTCCAGAATGTAAAGTAAGTGACACTCTGAGGTGTGAGCCAGATCACCAAGTGAAGTGAGCTATATGGAGAGAGGTTTTTTCAATTTTTTAAATGCATTTAATGCATTTTCTTCCTCTCTTTGAAAATGTGAATATAATGTGCTTGGAGAGTGTCCTTGTATTGTTGAATTGTATTCAGCATTCACAGAGTAGAATGCACTGGGAACTTCCTGGGGACAGACTCTTCTGTTGCTGTCTTTCAATGCTTAGAAAGAAGGTAGCACAGGAAAAAGACACAGAATGTCACAGCATGGGATTCTGGGGAAAATACATGCAATTGTGAAACATTTTCCACAACAATCTTTGAAAACTGAGATTAATGTTTCATTTTGCAATTTTCAGATAGACATTTCAAAAGAGAGTAAAATTAGCCCAAATCTTTGCAGTATTATACAGCACTAATAGGGACCAATATGGTTTGAATTTGGCAAGAGTAATGCATTTTTAAAGTTATTTATTATTTATTATGAATTCCTGAATACACAGGAATGTTGGTGTTGGGGGGAGAAAAGTTATTTCCATGCTCAGCATACAATGCTTGAAAATTTTTACAAGCACAAACATCACTTCTGTGGGTGCAAAGACATGGAAAGTAACTTTAATTGAAATGATCCAAATTTGGACTCATATTTCATGTGAATAGATTAAGTAGTTTTCTCTTGATTGTGGTTTTCAAGAAAAAAACAACAAAAAACTGTCTTTTGTTAAAATTAGACCACTAACCTGGCAAAAAAACTGGAACAATTTTCTAATTTTTTATTATGTCATCACTATTACTGCTTCTTCTGCATGATTTAATCCATGATGATTTATCTGTTAAACCTGCAAAAATAATTTACAAGGCTGATATTTGTGGCATTGGAACTAGTCATGCTGCAAGTCATAAACATTTCTAGCATGCTGCTATTTCTGACATAGTACTTGACCCTAAAAAAGCAGCTGATTTTAAAAGCAAATGAAGTGGAAGTAAAAGAGATGTGAATGCTGGGATTACAAGATTAAGATCCAAATTATAGAAAAAATAAGAGAATATTGTACTGCATTACTGTCATGCTGGAGATAAGAATGCCTTATTTGTCAATTAAGGTGATTTATTTGATATATTATAAAAGGATTACAGAAGTACACATTTCTTTCCTCTTAAGAGGTTATGTTACCCAGCAGAAACTATTAAACAGAGTATGAAAATAAGTATGTACTATTTTTATTCTGATACATACCTGCAGCTGTTATCTTGATCCCTGGAAGCTCTGTATATTCAAGAGTAGGATATATCCCATAATCCACATCAGACAGTGAGGACTGTGGGAATAATGGGAATCTTTGATAATAAAAATGCAAACAAAACACAGCCCTGAATAAACGCCACTTTAGACTGCATCCTTGTCTATTGTAGGACTTCATTATTAAGATTGAGCTGGAAAAAGCTGAAAATGGAAGCCTAGGATTTGCACTGGTAGGTGGAAAAAATGGCAGGGCTATCCTAATAAAAGCCATCAGCCCGGACAGCAGTGCAGATCTAGACGGGAGGCTTCAAGTTGGTGACATCTTACTGAAGGTAATGTTTGTTCTTCATTGCTTTGGCTTACATTTTCTCTACTTTATAATGAGCACCTGTCCAATATAAAGCGGTGCAGGTTGGAAATCTGATGCTGCTGTGCACAGTAACATGTAGGAGGTGCTGTCCCTTGGCTCCTGGTGCTCAGAGGGCTGTCCTGAGGCCCCTGTGTCTTTCCTGGAGTTCAGCCTCCTGTGGGACTGGTCCTCCCCAGAGCTGGACACCCCAGCAGAGGCAGACCCAGACTCACAGAGCAAGCAGCCAAGTGCACCTACTCCTGACTGTAATTGTGCCTAGGGAAGGTTCCAGAGAAACTTTGGGGAAACCGGAGTTAACTGGCCAAGCATGCAGGTCACAACTAACCAGGAGCCTCCTGTGAAGAACCTGTCACGTTAGGTATTATCAAGATAAACAAAAAGCACTGGAATTAAGGCTCTTCAGTCTTAATTTAAAATCTTACTATCCTAGCCACTCTGCCACCTTTTAATATAAATAATCCTTTTTGTTACACCAAATTATTTTTTATTCTCCCTCCATGAGTTTCAAAATTGTTTGATTTTCTGGCTTTCCATCTCTCCTTCATCTTCTCAATGAAGAATGGGAGAAAGCCCACTTAGTAACTCAGACTATAATTCTGGGTTTCCTACTGGCAATCATGGTATAAAGATGAAGGACCAAGTGAGTTAGGAGAGAATGAGAATTCTCTCCCACAAATGGGAGAAAATGATGACATATGAAGTTCAAAGAAGTTATATGAAGATTTCCCAGTGCTAGGGCTTTGTGTTACAGGAATCTGGAAATACACATCATTGTATTTTTCAGGTGAATGAGACTTTTGTGTCTGGTCTGCCACGCCAAACAGTTACAGACCTGCTGCGCAAGGCGCAAGGCACTGTTCAACTCACTGTCTGCCGAAGCGTGGCCTTGCACTGGGCTTATTCAGGCAGCCAGAGCAACAGAGCTTCCCCTCCAAACACAAAAGCAGAGCCTGGTAAGCAGCCACATCCACTCATCATATGACAGAAGTGGGATTATGTGTTGCCTGAATTCAACTTTGATATTTGCAAAACAAGTCAATTTTGCAGTTAGTCCTGTCTTATAGCTGTAAGTACAAACACTTTCTTCACCCTGATTTGAAGCTCTGGCTAAACTGCTCAAGACATAGGACCACAGGGAAGGAATGAACAAGTGTGATTTTTAAGTCTAGGAACAAAGCTGTAAGACCCTCAAAGATGCTTTAACTCAGCTTAAGTTTTTAAGTCATGAATGTTGGTCTGATTTTACCTCATTTTATGCAGCTCATTGATGAAATCACAGCCTGGTTTTGGCTCAGTTGCTAAAATACTTCTCCCACAAACCTCATATCCCATCACTCCTACTTATCTCCTGGAAGCACTACACCTCCTGTTCTGTCTGGCAGACAGATCCTCTCTCTTCTGTGGTGTTCATGCTAAAATCCAGAAGCTTCTGCTTGCAGGTGTATTGTTATTAATTTGAGAGCACACCCATCTTGCAAAGGGTAGTTCTTACAGGCATGACTTACTCTATGGAAGAACTTTGTGCTCTATGCTCTGCTCTACTGAATACTCAAAAATTAAATACTAATTAAAGCTGGGAGTGGAAGCAAGGATATAAAACTACAAATAGATTACAGTTATAGTCCTCAACTTTCGATTTCTTTGAATACTGAAACATTTCCTATAATGTGGAGAAACCTAAGTGGGAAGGATATAGAATTCCTCCTTCTGGCCTGCTGGTTACAAATTGAAGGCTTTGTTTCAGTATTCTTAGTCAAGAAGACACTGCCATTGCCATTTTCTTCTTACATAACATCAGTGAATTACATAGTTTCTGGCAAGTTTAAAATGTTTTCCTGTAAAACACAATGGCATTATAGAAGTACTCGCAGCAAAGTTAATCTATGGCATTTTTCCCTTAGCACTGTGAAGGAATGAGCTGGGTTAGGGAGAGCAGATTTAAATTGTTTCCTAGTTTTTTATAGCTACTGTTGACACAGGGCTTTACTTCAATGCATCTTCTGGCAGTCTGAATTATGCTGGCTTCTTTGGTGGTGACATGAGGCATTTGTGCTCTATTAACCCTCCCAGGCATTCACAAGAGGGAGATTCCATGCCAGTTTGACACTGTATCTCAGTGCTCCATATGAGGTTAAAGTCCTTTGGACTTAGCAGCAGAGAAAAATGGACCTGTGTTTTCATGCATTTGATTTTGTTTTTATTTTCTGGTATTCAGCAAGTGGTGGGGAAAGCCTGCAAGCTCAGCCAGTTTTCAGTTTCAACGAAGAAGGCTCCAACCAAATGTGCAACAAGGTAAAACCAGAGAAGTTTTCAGAAATTATCAGGCAATGTACTCATGTTTGTTTACAACATGAGTTTGCTGCAATGTGGGCAAGAACCACACTTTCTTAATAAAAAAAAGTTTAATGTGAGGGAAGTGTGCTGCCCTGAGTGGAGCTGCTGACATTTGAGTGAGTCAGGATTCCACTGAGACAAGAGCATGTGATATGTATAATACATATGCTAAAAGGGTGGAGGGAAGAAAGGTTGCATATGCAAGTCTTGTTCTGATTCTTTATAATACTGAAATGAATAATTTATTAATTTTACCATCCCTTCAGTATTTCTAAACCATGTACATTAAAAGACTTCTATTCAGCTATCTCCACTACTATTCAAAATTGAAATGCATCTAAATTTCCTCAGACATGGCTATGATTCCGAATCTTAGTAAGTCCTGCAAGACATTCCACATTAAATTTCAGAGCAAATTTTAAATCTGTAAAACTTCTCAGTAAATGTGAGAAAATTAGGTCTTTTTATCCTCCAGAAAACAAATGAAAAACCCAAACCCTGACTGAAGGAATGTAATTGAACCAGAAAAAGAAAAATGGTAATTTGAACGAAAATTTAAATAATTATTTATCAAGTGTTACAGCTGAGAAGAAGCTACTTTCACATACTAACAGCAGATATCCTGTATCATTATTTAAATGCAGGACCTAGTTATTGCTCTTTAGGATGGATAAACAGCCACCAGTACTATTGCTTCTATTGCATATGGAGGATCATCAAGGGTCTGCCTTCTCTGTTGGTTGAGTGCTTCTTCAGCAGAGCAGCTGCACCCTGCTTCTACAGTTGGCATTGTTGTGTCTAAGATAAAAAAGGCAATTATTACCAACAGTTCCATCTCAGATGCCGGTGCTTCCTGCTGCCAAGAACTGGGAGAAGTGTGACTCATGATTCCTGTGATTGCATTTTCTTTGTCAGATCAGAGAGCCTATAACAAAGTTTTCAAAGTCAGTCAAGCATGCTGAGAAATAGAAGTGTCTCTAGACTGTATTGCTCTATTGTTCAGAAACTTACAAATGCAGCTGATAAGGCTTTTTACTCCGACTAGTAACTGCAATACACACTTTCTCCTCAAAGTGGAAACTATATATATTTTCCCTTTCCTTCTTAAGCTAAGGACAGATTTCTGTCAGAAATAAGAAAGAGTGTTGATGAAAGTAACTATATTCTCGATGTTTTTGTGTACTGATTTTTCACAGCTTTTTCTTATTTGAAACATGCAGGATGCAGAAAGAACAGACAAATCTCCTCTGCAAGGTCAGCTGGCTGGACAAGACTATAAGGAGCTCATCAGTAACATTTCAGACAGGTAAGTCTTTCAAATGAAGTAAAACTATTACAATAAATAGTAAGGATAAATTATTTGCATATTTCCAGCTCTGTCCTAATACGGTATGAAATGACAGAAACAGGGTCTATTGGAATGCAGCTCCACCTTCAGGAAGAGCTGCTAAACTGCTTCCACACAACTACTAAGACAAGAGAATTGAAGTTTCCAGGTGTAAGGGCTAACAATTGAAAAATGTCCTACATGAAAATGGTCTCTAGTTGTGAGAAACCTTACTTCCTGTCATTTTTGAGAAGCCTTTTATTCAGGGTATGCTCTTACTTCTGGAAAAATCCAACAACAATCGCATACAAAAAATAGTATTTTTCAATAGCTATATTTGTAAACAATACTCCAGACAATATGCTACTACAGCTCCTTGAACTTATGATCTTCAGAGTTCCGACTAATTCTTGTAAATAGTTGTTCAATAAAGCTAAAAGTAAGCACAAATAGATTAAACACAAAAACTTTGTATGGTTCAGATTGCCACTTCAACTGATACTGTTTTGCAGGTCACAGAAATGTGCAGAATGTGAAAGCTGCAGAAGAGAAAATCAACAGTCTGAGTCAGGCATCTGGAACAATGAAGATGATGTTATGCCCCACAGGATTCCTGTTCTACCTAGAAGTAATCATGCAAAAACTTCTCTTGTTTCTCCAACAGTATAGCCCAGCATCTCCATATATCCACCCTGAGAACAGCACTTGTCCCTTGTATACAACCTAAGGATTTGCTCTTTCAGTCTAGAAGACCAGAGCACTCAAGACACAATTTTTACTACTGATGCATAAATAGGCCATCCAAACTTTTGTAACTCTTGAAGTAGAGATACATCATGAGGTCCCCCCTCTCCCCCTTACTGTTACCATACAACTTTGCAAAAGAAGTAAATTAAACACTTAAAAATGCAGAACAAAGGGTCAAATTGTCTCTCAAGACTTTGTTCCCAGAATCACTGAATTTCACCCCCTATGACAACTTCATTAAAATCTCTAGAACTGATGTGCTTAAGCATGTACTGAAGCACTTTCACAGCTCAGGTGCCAAAGCTCCTCTGACACCCAGAAGAGTTTACAGAAAGAATCTGCCTTATTGTTCCTTTATGAAAATTAAGCTCATTCTGCTCCAAATGAGAATAATTTGCAAAAGGAATCATACTGAGGATGCTGCAGTATCTCACAGATTCTGTGAAATACAGATTGCTCTCTCTCCTTGCTTCTTCTCACTCAGTGGAAGCAACGAGTTGCTGATGGCTCTTATTAGAAGTAAAACACAGGTAATTCCCTCATGCTACCAAGCCTTGCTGGCCAACAAACAGAAGATTATAAATAATCTATCATCTACTACCTGCTCAGAGTTTGGGGTTTTGTAATTCCCCTTGATCTGGGAGGAGAGGTGTATGGGAAATAGTGTGCTCTGTCTGGAGTGGGGATCTGTCTTCACTGGCACCCTCAACTCAATAATAGGAGCCTCTTCGAGGGTTAGAGACTGGAATGCAAACAGAAAGTGTCTTAAAAGCTCAGGCAAGGCAGGGCAAAGTTGTAGCCCAGACAAAAACATATCTGTATTGTAACAGAAATTAGTTAAGAGTAGGGATGACACCTTACAGGAGGAAAGCAGAGCGTTGCTTCTTGTCTTCATCCTGCAGCAAACCCCTGGAACACATCATCAGCTTTTCTTTGAGGCAGCTGGTATGTTATCCTTTGCAAACAGTAGCCTATGACTGAAAAACCCAATTTCCATAATTCCTCTGCCTCAAACCATTATTTTTTACATAACAAGCTACTGTTTTTACTCAACATGGGAACAAAAGTTTTTCTATCACTCCAGTAGAATAGTGATATTTCTGGAGATGCAATGTTTATCCATTTTCCTAATCTGTCAAGTACTGGATCAGAACACACATTTCAGGATGAGCTAAGTAGTAAAACTGAATCCTGACTTTGGTGCATCAAAGACAGTTCCTATCTTGTTCTTGAAGGGCAGTGTGAGTTAAGATGAGAAGAAAAATATATTTGCTTACTTTGGGAAGGAAGAATTTGCTGTGATTGTTCCTAGCAGTGGAGTGTGGCAATACTATTTGGCATGGAAGTGTTGGAAATGTGAAGATGATTTTCTGTGAAGATGTGGCCAGAGTCTCCTATACCAGCATAAATTAGCATTAAAGTCTCCAATTCTGCAAAAACAGTTTATTTAGAACAGACTGTATCTAGAAACTCTGTGAGGAAATAACTTGCAATAGTTGGATCTGCTTCCAAATAACACAAAATGTGGTGCTGGTTATATCCATGATGTTGACTTATTCTTCTTTCTGCTGTGAACATAAGTAAGTTGAAAATATTTTCTTCCATTTTCTCATATTTCACTTCCACAATATAAGCAGCAAAATATATATACATACTGCAGCTCCCTAGTTTTTAAAGCCAAGATTCTGCACTATGAACAATAATAATTAAAAAAATTATTGATTTTTTGTTATTGTGTTTTGGTCTTTTGTTTGCTTTTTTGTTGTTGTTGTTGATACATAGATAGAACCTTTGCTTCTGGAGATGAACTGACTCAGTTAATTAACTTGAAACCATCACAGAGTGGAGTAGATCCAAGGACTGGCATAACAGGTCTTATTCAAGGCCTTCAGCTGCGGATTGAGAACCAAGAGGTGCTAAAGGAGTTTATGGTAAACTTTGATTACTTCTTAAGAGTTAACAGTTCAGCACAGCTAAGAAAGTAACTTTCCATACAGTGCATACTGTATGGGAGTTCAGCTTGTATATCTTTACTGCATCCTTTTTCTCTGACAATTATTCCTGCCAAAATGGGGTTTCTACTCTGCTGTATGGGTGGTAGTACAGTATTTGCATCTCTCTTTCCACGTATATCAGCCTTACACCATTCCCTGTTCAAAGATACTGCCCATGTAGAAGAAAAACAAATAATGTAACATTCACAATATAGATTAGGAATCACTTTTTCCTAGACTGACTTCTTATTACCCCCTCATATCTGCTGAATATTTACCTAAGAACTATCCTAGGGGCTGCACCTAAGCAAGAAACCCATGCTGCTAAAGAGTCACTAGAGTAGAAACAGTTAAAAGGAAAATGTTCCACACAATGGAACGCTCCAGTTATCCACGGAACCCATTGCCACAAGATGCTGTTATGGTCAGGGACTTTGTAATGAAATTACAAAGAAGTAATGTACCTCCACAGACAATGAAAACACATAATTACATCCGATTGCATATAAATCATGAAAAAAATGTAAAATTAGGAAGGCTTGTAAAATGTCTTGTTTCAGAACATAGACAGAGTATGAAGCTATCATCAAATCCCCAAAGAACAGATTATTTCATAATTCTTCAAGATAGTACTGGATTTTCCTTAAAAGGACGTGGTCATTATCAGTGCAATGGATTGCTGCCACTTTTCCACAGTAATTACAATGTTATCAGTTTCTTTCACTTGCCTTTATATCTCGGACTTTCTGGGTACAAAATCCCACAGGCTCAAATATATAGGATTTGCTGGCATTCCCTGAAGGCACAAGGGCATGTATTAATTTTCATTCATTACATTCCATTACTGATGTAGGTATAGCTTACTATGAGCTCAGTCACACGTCTGCACAGAAAACATAAAGATCTAATAAGTGCTGGTTACCAAAGGCAGTGGATGTTTTATCTGAGTAAAAGTTGTAGTAACTGATGAAAGTGTTCAAGAACTGCCACAGGTACTTCAGTTCATATAAATGTATAGTGGCAGAATGTGATGACTGAGCATTGTGCAATGTACAGAAAATAGGTAGAAGAATAAATAAAAACATTGAGGTAACGCAAGAATGTAATGAACTTGCACATTCCTGCTTCTGACTACCCTGCATTCAATTCCCCTGAATTTGCTGTGAAGCTCTTAATGACTTGATGATTTGCACTTAATATCATTGGTGTTGTTCCTTATATCACTTTCTCCATCACTGAAAAAGCTTTCAGTCATTTTTACACTGTTAATAGTGCAATAGTTAGTGCTTTAGTCATCATGTTATCAATCATAAATGCTGACATTTGGCCAAGACAGTATTCACAGTATTCCAAACATCTATAATACAGCAATATATAACAGGGACTTGTAATGATGGGGTCCGAGGATGAGGGTTGAACATATCACTTGAAAATGCAGAAATATTGTGCAGGGCAAGAAAATACAAAGCAAATTGAATTTTTTGCCTAGAAGTTTAGAGAATGATGTACTGATTCTCTTCAGTAAGAGGTCTATTTGCCAGTCTTGGGTTATATACAGCAGTGAAGTTTGTTCACACTGACACTGTAAAAGTTGTCTGTTGAGGATGTGAACAACACGGATTGACTATTTATTTTTGATCTAGGCTTTAGAACATGTGAAACCAATAGATGACTGCAGAACTGGCAAAGCACCAGAAAACCAGAATAAAAACAGATACCGAGATATCCTTCCATGTAAGTATGCACAGAAATGAGAACTTACATTTGGTGAACAAAGTCATCAAAAAAAAAAAAAAAAAAAAAACAAAACATGAAAAAACTTTCTGGACCCTTGATGTCTTTCTAAACTGCAGCAACAGGACAACATGTGAAAAAATGTGTAGCATCTCTATATATCCATGATGCAGTATATATTTTCTTAGAGGTTCTCCTGGTTTATAACACCAATATCCAGTTTCTATGCAATACATGAGAAGCAGCACTGGGTACACTACTTTGGAACACTGGCAAACAATTCTATAGTAATTAGAAGGCTTTTCACAGTCCTACAGAAGGACCTTAAGAGAAATAAACCTGCAATGAACTATACAGTTTATCTGTGGGAATTCCTACTTGTAATGGTTAATGGTAGTGCTACTAGTGTTCTAATTTAGTGTTCTAAAATCCAGAGGTATACTTTTCTGGAGAGATTGAGGTTTCTTATATCCTGAGTGCTGTAGATGGTAGAATCTTTTTCAGATCCACAGCTGAAATAGCATCTTTCTGTTTCTGTACAGATGATAAGACACGAGTTCCTCTGGGAGAAAGGAACGGCTACATTAATGCAAGTTACATTAGAATGAATGTTGGAGAAGAGGAACACTTTTATATTATAACCCAAGGGCCTCTTCCATCCACTATGGCTGATTTCTGGCAAATGGTCTGGGAGAGTGAATCAGATGTGATTGCCATGATGACAAAAGAAGTGGAGTTAGGGCAAGTCAAATGTCATCAATACTGGCCTGAATCTCCCTATAACTCTAAAGACCTGGCAAATTTCTGTCTCAGGCTACACAATTACCAGATTCTGGAATACTTCATAATCAGAAAAATAGAAATTATCAACAAGCAGGTGAGTTGACTTAATACTTACATATATAATGAAGTTGATTATGTAGTTTACATGAGTTGATACAAGTAGCATTGTTTGCTTCTTCCACAATATGTGCCCAGTATTTTTTGGGGACGTAAAAATCTGAATAACATGCATGAAATTAGGATTAATGAGGTGCTTTCTTTTTGCTCTTTGCATAAGCAATGGATATAATATTACATACATTTGGACAAGAACTTCCAAAAATGAGACCTCTAATAGTCACAGAACTATTAGAACACTGGTGTGTTCAGTGTTTTGCAGAATTGTTTACTGTTCTCATCAAATCACATCCCCACCAGAGTGGATTCATAATGGTGGTTGGATGGAAAGAGGGGAAAAATGTGGCTTTCATCCTAGAATTTAGGACAAATGATACTTTTTTTTTTTCATGAAAAGACACAAAGACACATGAAACTAAAAATCTAGCAGCAATTTTTAAGAAACTTGACAAATACAGAATCCAGGTGGGAGAACATGGAAAACAGGGCAGGTATAAGTCCATCATTCTTGCCCCAATATTAAGTAAAGCTTTGCAAAAATTTCTGCAGGACATATTATTTAGTGGCATAATTAAAACACCTGTGCCAGACTAAACTTGGCACCTTTTCCATCAAGATAACAATTTGAGGAAATTCACCTTATGCCACTGAGTGTGAAGCATTGTAAAGCATTTGATATGAGTCTTCCCAAAAGACTCTCAAAAGGGCAAGATGGAACACCACATGTGATTATTTCAATGAACATGTTAAGTTTACTATGTTGTACAGAATTAGTAGCAAACTACTACAGAAAGTCATAGATCTACTTCAGCAGAAATCCATATTTACATTCAAATTCTTCTGATAGTAAAAATCCAGGGAGTTAGCATTCAGATTTTAATGTGTCTTTATGAACTGGCAACAAGAAGTGTTGACCCAGGAAAGTTCAATTAATATTACTCGTTATTTTATCTACATTTTATTTATTCTTGTAACCATTTCTAGTTGGTTTGCATATTGAGCATCTAATCACAAGTTATTTTATGTCTGATAACCATCAGATATTTACAATTTTACTATTGTAGCTTTCATATTACTACTCTTCTATTAGTAAAGCTTAGTTCAGCTACAAAAACAGTTTTAGCAAACAGCACTGCAATGTTCTAATTTAAAAAATGTTTTTTCTTTTTCCTTTCTAACCAACAAATGACATAACTACATTTTTTCAAGGCAACAGAGTAACTTAAGCATCTCGTCAAGGTCATATGAAGTAAATTTCCTAGGCTGTGTTTCTGGGTGCATTTCTTGAAACCTAAAGAAACTTTAATAGGGTCAACTATGAAAAGCTAAAGAACTGTAAACAAATAATTTAAAGAATGAGGCTGTAGGAAAATTTTTAGTGGAATTCCTTGAAAATTTGTTTTAGGACTGATAACTCTTAACCTTTCTGGTCTCTCTCTTCCAGACAGAAGAAAAGCGCATTATAAGTCATTTGCAATTTACCACTTGGCCAGACCACAATACTTCCAAACTGGCTGAGCAGCTTGTAAAATTTATTTGTTACATGAGAAAAGCTCACAGGACAGGACCTATTATTGCTCACTGCAGCACTGGCATTGGAAGAAGTGGAGTTTTGCTGTGTGTTGAAATTCTTCTCAGCCATATAGAAAAGGATTTATGTGTAAGTAGCAAACAGGTCATTGTTATGGATGTCAACAATATGGTGGGAACATCTTAGAACAGAATAAATCCTCTAAGAATTCACCCTAACAAAATGGAATAAACCCAGCTTTCACTGTTTTAAGCAACAAAGATAGTAACTACAAATATACAATTTCTAAAAGAGCTGTCACAGCTTCCCCATCTGAATATGCTTAAATCTTTCTTTCTAACTTGCATGTCAACCAAAATCAAAACAATTCTCTTCTGACAGTTCAACATCAAGCAGATAGTGAGAGATTTGCGAGATCAGCGTTTTGGCATGATCCAAACTAAGGTAAGTTCTAAATATGCAACTAGATCATTTTTTTTTAAAAAAAGCCTCAATCCGTGGTACAGCTCCATATGCTATGATAAAGCTGGGACTTAAAATATAATTTCAGTGCTCTCAAGGGGTGTCTAGTTTTAAATATGAAAGTCTTTCCCTTACTGAATAAGTGAAATAAAAGCAAAATAGCAATACAGGACAAATACAACACAGGCCCCTTTCTTTTTCTAACGCAAGAAGAAAAGCAAGTATCACAGAAACAGGAATTTACTGTAAACCCTACCCTGCAAAATTATACCCTTTAGTTGAATTCTTGCTATTGCTGAGTTATCATCACCAATTAAACCTTTCTACTCCTGAGCTAAACCCACTCCTCAAAAGATTTTTCACACAGAAAAAGGACAAGATGATGCCAACTCACCTTAGACAAAACCAAATTAGTTGGTGAGAATAAAAACAAGAGAAGACTTAAGTTCATCCTATAGGCAAATATTTTAGCACACACTATGATAGATTTTTCTTCAGGGTAATGACTGAGCATGTGACTAAAATTAAGCAAATATATAACTTTCACTGTCCTAAATGAGAGTTGAGTACATGCTTAAACTACAAAGTTCCTGTTCTTTTACCAGTGAGGGAACAAGAAGAACAAGGATTCTCTTAAATATGCACATTTTGTATCCATATGACATAGATGCTGATGTTATAAACATATAATTTCAGCTAGTCCATCCTTCTTTGTCTAGAATTTATGTTGAATGTAAGCAGGTGTTTCACACTGGTGTCTCCACACACAGGATGAGTATTTATTCTGTTATGAAGTTGTGCTGGAAGTCCTTCAGATCCTGCGAGCAATGGATTCCTACTGAATATGATTCTGAAAATATGACTCTTCCTGTTGCTATTCCATTGGACTCCAGAGACTGCTCAGCGACCACTTGAAAGAGATGTCATGCCAGCACAGACAAGTGTTATATTATATGGTTTTTTTAGATTACAAAATAATTTAAAAACCTTGCTTAACGTGTCCTGCGCAAGTCATTTATTTCTTGGCTGAAAGTATGAAGAAACAGCCAGCCAGCACCGCAACACTGCTGTGTCAAATTGCTATGCACAGTTTCTGCATTCTGTGTAATAACATATTCATTGTTAGGAATATGTGTTGGGACTGTAGCAAGGATATAGCAGCCTTTGGAATTAGCTTTACTATCCAGAGTGTAGCTATAAAGATTTAGGATTCTATTGGTGTTAGGGGAAGAGTAGTTATCCCTCATCTATTGTTGTGCACTGTTTGCTTCTGGACTGCAAATCAGTGTTTACTCCACCAGTTATGCTTTTGCATGGAAGGACTCAATTTGGTGATCTTTGGTTGCTTAAACAATGTAGAACCATCTCCAGCCCATGAGTTTATACCACTATCACTAGATATCCTAAATCAAGAAATTGACAGAAAAAATAGGATGCCTTTAAACCCTGGTCCTCTTCAAAGGAAGAGCATTCTAATAATTGGATGGAATGTTAATTTTTTCCAGCAATATGAACAGATGTAGATAGCATCAATATTTTCATTCCACATCCATAGAAAAAGAAATGCAATACTAAGCCAGGTGAAACAACTGTGTGTGCGTTGTGGTACACACATACATTTCATCTTTCCCTAATCCTTTACATTGATCAATTATATTCTCATTCTTACCTAGGATCTGAAATATGGGATGTCCTGCTGGTTTCAGTAGGGGCTGAATCAGATCTTTAAATTAAAGAACGCTCTGTATAGTTTATTTTTCTTGTAAAAAGTGTTTCTGTTTGTGTGGGTGGATTTGAACAGAAATCTGCTGTTCAAGGTGTAAGATTGTATTTTTTTCCATTTGTTGTACTTCTAAGTCCTTATCTAGAAGGTGACATAAGGAAGTGATTAGATATGCATTAGAAGAGCAACTTGTAAACATAGGAAACTGAAACAATCTAACTAAATTGTATATATTTTTAAAACTTATTTGGTTTCTGCAAAAGAGAGATTACTAGGAGGCATTGGGTATAAAACTGCAGTTGAAGCAAGAAAATAAAATAACTATTTATTTTATTACGTATTACAAATTAGAGGTTAATAATTCAGAAAGAATGGGGTATCAAATAAAAATTTAAAGTATGGCTTTAAGAAAAAGCCACTGTAATACAATTATAATTAAGGACAAGGCCCATTTTTTTTTCTGCCCTCCAATAGTCTGAAGGCAGTCTCCAATATAGAAATGCAATTATTATGTGAGCCAGATGTTAATTTCAAACTTACTAATAAACTTTCAGAGCAATGCTAAATAAATCCAGGAGTAACCCTGGATTCATATTGATCTAAACATATACAGAACTCAATGTTTTGTCTTAAATTAATTGAATTTGGTCCTTCCTCGAAGCATTACTCTCCATGTATTCTGCATTTATCATCTTTATGTTGCATACAAAGGTCTGTTCACACAATTTTGTCAAATATCAACAGTCAATTTTTTTCTCATAACTTTTTTACCTTCATTTGGTATTTGGCCTTTCACTTTAATTACTTCACACGTACTAGGCAATCAATGCATTACACTGTAATGAATACGCAATTCATCTTTTGTACCACAATAATTTAATAAGCTTCCTAGTGAAAATATTTCTGTATTTTATGCAAAGGTGGTTTTTTTCTGTGGCTTAGAACAAGTATTCTGGATTTAGAAGACAATCCTCACAGGTCATTATTTGTACATCATCTTTGCAACTGTTTGACAGATGTGTTTGCTGTTTGACATAAGTTTTTCCTGTTTTACAGAGATATTAAAAAGATTTATTAAAACAATCTGCTAATTTCAATTAATTTTTATAAAAAAGCAGCTGCAATACCTAACTATTAACCAATTCGAGCTCTAGAGAAAATATTTTATTCATGGGGGCTTGTCTTTAAACTTCCTCCAAAGGCAGATTTTGTGATGATGTATAGTGGAATCTGGCCACATCCAGCAGCTGATAAGCATTTCCCCACACACACAGCACAACTGAGTGTCCCACCTCTGTGTTCTTTATTCATGCAAACTCCCTGGAGGTCGAGACTCACTGATATGCAGTCATTTGGAACAAAAGATAACCCAGTCTTTACAGAGCTCACACTACTTGACAAGTCAGGATAAACTGAAAAGAAAGGAAGATCTGTTGTCCTATTTCATTCTTAGGGAAGTGAGGCAGTGGTTAGTGATTTGTCCAAGGTTTACAGAGTTTTGGAAAACTTGGGAACTAAACACAGATGATAAAATCTTTGATTCTATGCCTACACACAAAACTATCTTTCCTCAGTCAGAAAAGAGGATCATACTGCTCTGGATGACTTCTGATGAGATATTATTTAGCACATAAAGTGCTCTGACTGGAATTTGCACACACCCTAATATGCAAGAGATGTGTTAAGAGAACCTCAGTCTGTGCCTATGGTCACTATTCTTACTTCATAAGTGGTATTGAGATCACCCTTTGTGCTCTACTACCTGGTTGCCAATCAGGACAAACTGTAGTGCAAATGTGAACAAAAAGGCCACGTTTATTGAAGGCAGTGCCTACCACAACAAGCACACCAAACAAGTAAACATATGCTAGTCCTCAGATTCATACTGTAGCACAAAACCTTGTCAGTCATACTCTGTGTTCAGACAGTAGCTGTGTCCACAGAACAGCACAACTGGTAATCACATTTTGGAGAAGTAGCTGTTTTACCAGTATTGAGACTACTGCTAAGCTTTTTTATAGCTACCATTTTATCTCAATTTAAAAGCAAGTATAGCAAGGACAACCACTGCATAGCTGTAAGGTTATGAAATTGTGTGTAGGGGAAAACGAGTGTCCAAATTTTTCTATTAACATTTTCATTGAGTTTCATGGACTCAGAACTGCTTCATGCTGATGCCTCTGTGTACTCCAGTATCCCATCTGCAGTGGAAAAGATACCTGAAAATACCCACATCTGACAAAATGAGTGTTACTGTCTACAAGAGCATTGTCAAACTTATATAATTGACTTGTCCTAATATAATCATGTTTCCTTTAAATTTTCTTAGAAAGCCTGAGAAATGAGCCAGTAATTTTTTTTCTGTCTTTTCAGCTGAAGTTTATGGCCTCACTGAGCAACAGGTCCTTCTGTGACAGAAGTAATAGAGCAACTGCAGAGGGTCTGCTGAAAAAGAGCAGCAATCACTGCCATCTAGGGGCAAATCGCCACCGCGACAGGACTAATTGCCCTTGGCACAGACACACGCCGTGTCTCTTAGCTGCAGAGTAAACACAGACAGATAAATGCAACAGAGGGCTTGTGGGCACATTCCACTTGCTAACTGAAATTATGCCACTGTGACTTGTTTCCTATACCTACAAGTGCAGCTAGAAGCTCTCACAGGAACAATCTTTCTATTAGATAATAGAAATACTGAACGGAATTATTTTCTCGTAAAAAAATAAACTCCCAGCAGTGTCACCCTGAGCTCAGGACTCCATTCACGTGGGTTTTAGGTATCTCCAGGATGGACACTCCTTGACATGTCTAAGCAACCTGTTCTGCTATTTGGTCATGCTCAGAGTAAAAAAGTTTTTGTCTGATGTTTAAAGGAAATTTCCTGGATTTTAGTTTGCGTTCATAGCATCTTGTCATGTCTTTGGATACCACTAATAGGAATCTGTTTCTGCTTCTTTACCTCTTTACTTCCTTCCATTTAGGAATTTGCACATATTGATAAGATCCCCCTGAGCATTCTCTTCTCCAAGCTAAACAGCCCAAACTCTCTCAGCTTCTCCTTACACAACAGACACTTCTTAATCATCACAGAGGCCTTAATATACAAGTACTTGTATACAGAGATTATAAGATTCCATCCAACAGCTACATCCAACAGCCTACTGAAATTAGAAGGTAGAGTTTTTGGTGCCTATTGACAAGTGATAATTGCTATTTTAATACCACTTAAGGACTGATCAAGGCCTGAGGAAACGATACAGGAGATTAAGAAAAGATGCATAGTATGGAGCATATCTTGGATGTCAGTCTGAAATATCTGCCAGCAATCATCTCTACTTTTTCACATAGTCTTAACTGTTCAGTATCCTCCCATATGAAGTAGGTGGCTATTCAGAATTTACTGCCTTTTCTGCACAGCACCAGTTACACATTCATGCCTGAGGGACAGTGAACTTTTTGCAATCCTGTTCTGAATTATACAGCTATTTAGCTTTCTCATTAAACCATTCAAAAACAAAACCCCAAAAAGCAGTTAAAATGCCTGAGAGCAGTACACCCCCAACCAGGCGACAGACACAATGGGGACTATACAGTAGCTGTCCAGCACCCCAGCTCATTACACAACCTAGCAATTAATTGAGGTTGCCTGTGCTCCCTCCCCTCCCTGCATTTGTTCTCTTGAGAGATGACAATCCCTTCTTCTCCTTCCTGTTCAACACTCTTGGAAAGACATGCCAATGACTGTAGGCTTTCCTTTCCCATCGCACTGCTGTAAAAAGCTTCTAACTACTTCCATTACCACTTCCTTCATGGCTGAAGCAGATTTATTCCAGGCAAGGCACCAGCTGCAGTACCCTTGGCTCATTCAGCACACCTACCAATAGTTCCCAAGGCAGAAACAACATGCTGTGTGTTTGCTTAATGCCAGCACCTTTGGATAAGTGACAAGGACACTACGAGAAATAATGAACATTAGGGAAATGTAGCTATAGCAACACAAGTATTCACAAAGCAAATCCCCACCATGAGCACAAGGAAACTGCTGTTATTGTATTTGTAAAAGTGCTGATAAAGCAGGAGCTTGGGCTACAACATCAGGAGAAGGCATGCCTGGCCTGC